AACTCTTCTTGTTCTGCTTGCTGGATGCCTGGTGCCTGGGGATTGGAGAGCAAGCAGTACATAGCTCGCTGTTGAGGATATCCCCAAGGCCGCCGAGAGGGGGAAAACTTTCAGTGAACATTTGCCATTTTGTGTTTACCTCTCTATCATGCATCGACACCCTCTTTTTGGTACCGTGCAAATATTTGGCCGTAACACATTCGTAGCAATCAACATTCATGACATTGCCCATTCGTAGCGCATTCAATCGATTTTGCACAACTAGAGTGCTTTTTATCTTTAATGTTTTGAGATTAGAATTCAAAAATTCTAAAAAAAATTTTGTGATGCCTTCACTAAAGAACTTATAGTGCCCTAGAGATACGCGGAAATTTTCTGTGGCCACGCCCTTCAGATCCTCGGAGTACTACAGAACATCCATCTTCGGAAAAATTTCGTCACAAATTTTCTAAAGGTCTTTTTCAAGATTATACAAAAATATAGTATGCAAGAATCGAGGTCATCATTTTTTCTCTTAATGGGTTTACAGACTGCGATTCCATATAAGCAGCTCAAAGCAGCTTTTTGTGTCGTAAAAAGAGATCTTTGAACCGCAGATATATTTTTAACACATTTTCCAGTCAATTCACCAAGCTGAACACATGAGTACATTTTCCAATATACCAGACTCAAAGGAGAATAGGTCAAGAATATTCTGTTAGATTTTTCGACGAATTTGCTTTTATGCTACCACATAGGAAGTAGTAGCCAATCATTTTATTGCCAGGCCCTATTCCCCAAAAAGTATGGTGTGGGACCATACTTCTTGCCTATAACCTTTAAATTAGTGAACAGGCTTTTTATTCAGGGATCATCTTGTTTCTGCATGATAAACAATTCTGAAAAAATTATATCGCCCTTATCTAATTTTACGATTTAAATGTCTACACTAAACAAGTCAACACGGCATAAGCAAATCTACATGAGCACTTAACCAGTTTTCAGCAGTAAAATAGAATTAACAGAGCCCAAGTTAACACAGCAGTAAAATAAAATTTCTGAATAGTTAGGAAGACAGTTACAAGGCTACAACTGAAACATACATTTATGACTTTTAGTGATTTTCAACCTTAAAAAGAACTTAAAAACCTTGAAAAATTTTTTAAGGTATCCTTGTCTTAGAAAGTTGTGTAAAGGGATCAAAAGTTATTGCAGCTGATTTTAAAGCGAACGAAAAGATTTTGAAAAGTGCATGTTATAGTAAGTATGCCAACTACTTTGTAATCTAAGGTACCCCAAAACACCCCAATGGGTACATCATTAAGAAATGGTCATAAATTTGGCGTAATGCAGGAGGGGGCGAAGGGTATTCTGTGGGGGTACGAAAAAGAAATATTTAAATCAGCATTTTTACCTGATTCAAATGATGTATCCAAATTTTAGCTTGTTTCTGTAGAGGCTAATATTTATCACTTTGTTTCTTTTGAAAAAACTAGACCATCAGCGCTTCTATACTGTACTAAAATAGGCTTTATCTTTAAATTGTCCAATATTCTTGGCCTATTTGTCCAATATAATGCCTACTATAAGTTTAAAGACTTTTCTTTCATTTTTGTCTCGTTATTTTCACGACAGTCAAGTCTCTAGTTGTGTTTTCGTCACACACCAAAGTTGAGAATCTTTTATCTGACATTGCTGTTTCAAATATCAGTGGTTAATATATCCGCTGCCATCGATCGTGAAATTCTTGGGTAAAGAATATTTTGGCTCTTTCTCTCGAAATTCTATCTTGAAGAATGAGTCATACAGCCTGACTCTTGTTTACAGGAAGTCAGTGTAGAAAATGTATTTCCTTACTTATTAGTGAAGTCCTTATGGTTCTCTTAATCCCAGCAGCTATTTAAACGAGATTCTTGTGCATTAAAAATAAGAAATTTAGAGATTCAAAGAATTTGAATAATAAATCAATCATAAATTATTAATGACAAGTAATAAATCCGTTTTAATTGTTAACCATGAAATCAAAAGCAAAAAGACACCGCTAAATTGTCGTCCCAAGAATGATAGAGAGTTAATCTTCAATTTTATTCTTATCATCGGGAATCTCTTTGCTTAAGTCGATTTTTATTAATTATTTTCATTACTATAAAAAGTAAGAATATCAAGACTTTATTGGTTAATTTTTCCTTACGTTTTCAACCCAACCATGTCCTAGGCTGTCCTAGGCACTTTTAAATCACATCTGTGCGTAAACCCATCAATTTGTTTCATTATACATTAATTTATTTCAAGCAAATTAGTAATGTGAAATAAGTAGATGAATACGGCATCCTAAAAATGGATACGGCGAGAATGGATACCAAAACAAAAGGGTTTTCCAGAATGGTAGATAAATAGTGACGTAAATAAGCTGGTGCATAGTACAAAAGAGAAAGAGATGAATTAATTTAACAGTTAATCAGTATAATTTATAAACACTCGAGTTGATCAGTGTGACCAGTGCTATTACTGTGTATATCAACAAAGTGAGTAAAAAAGCAAGAAGGATAGGCATCAGCTGAATATGCGACAAACTTGTCTAAAAGCATCCTTCAAGTAATTATTGTTTATAATATATGCACATGATTTTGACGTGGTTCTTTTGCCGAAATCATACAAGCTGAGTGAACTGCTGTCGATGGGATCTTCACAGCCATGATGTCAAATGGCGCCCAACATGGTTTTAATGCGAGCAGCGTAATGGATGTGCTTCTAGTATAGTTGCTGGAAAGCTGTTTAAAGGCCGGGTTACACGATCACTTTTTACCATCACTTTTTTCGATATTGGACCAACATGCTGAAAAGTGATTGTGTAACATACTAAAATTGTCCATTTTCGCTGCAGAATTTAATGTGCTTATCAAGTGTTAATCCTCTATCATTGGAAATTTTGCTCTGAACGAAAGCAAAATCGAGTTTATCACTTTTTTCAAAGGCGCCGACAATTCTTACGTCACATAATGTTTTGATGAGAAGGGAACGGCCTATAGTTTCGAGAAAAAAAAAATAGAAGATCACAACCTGACAAGCGGATTTCAAAACCTCAGTTTATTAATAAGAATTTTTGGGAGATTGTTTTGAGCATCTGGCATACCATCAAGATTTGAAATCATGCTTACCTCAAAACTTGCCTATGCGAATCGACCTCCGTTTGCAGTAATAAACCAACAACTTCAAATTCGATCTTCCTCATTTACGAAGAAATCGGCTGACTTGACCAGCACATTAACACAAATTTTCATAATATCTTTAAAAGTCATTTGACATAGATTTTAATTCTCTGATTACCGTTTCACAATGAAAGCGTTGTTTCTCTGTTGTAAGCTTGGGTAGAAAATACACCATTTTCAAGATACGAGAAATTAAAACGAGACTTTGAACTTCAGTACCCCAAGAAGGTAAAGTAATATTGAAGAATGTGAAAAACCAGATTTTTTCTATTCTTGATTTGAATTTTTACAATGCTTGTTAATTTATACTGTACATTAATTACTATACAAAAGTGCAAGGATTATATCACAGGAAACAAATTGGCAATGAATTTCTTGTTGCTGTTAGATAAAAAAATAAGGCTGAAAAACTACTTAAAATTGGCATAGTAGTAACTTCATTTTAAACGTTATACTGTTATGGTTCTTTCGGGTCTTAACTGTAATGGTTCATTCATCAAACCATAAGCAAACTAGAAAAGGCGTTGTCATTTAAGCAGATATAGCTAACAGATATTTTGCTGCCTTACAATTTAACGAATCATTTAGTAATTCTAAACAGTTGCAATGGTGGAAAGAAGGAACATTTTTCGAGAGTCTATGTCGAGACTCTTGCGTCACCAGACGAAAAATGTGATTGGAGAGGGACGGTAAAATCTATTCTTAAACTATTAAGGCTGGAAAGCCAATTTGAACACCTCCGGACAGTGAAATTCGCAACGGTTTTAAAAAGCAATTTAAAGTTAAGCTGCCGAAAGATTAAAGTGATTAGTAGAAAAACCAAGTAATCTAGTGTGGGAAGTTCATAGCAAAGTGAACTAAAAGACTATAAGCTCGTCTCTGCGAACTTCTGAACAGCAAAAATCTTCTGGGAGTAGGCCAAAGCTAACGCTGGATTTCGTTTTAGTGACGTATGTATCGGGATTGCTAGACACAGATATAGAACTAAGAGACCTATTGTACCCCACGTGACCAGTTTTGCAAAACAAAATCATTTTCCTTAAAAGTTGTGGAGAGGGAAACAGGATAACTTGAATTGTTTTCTGAATAACTTGGGAATAAAAACTTTTACACTACAAGAGATTTGACTCCAAAACATTAGAAGTTTACTTTCTGCACCCGAACCAACTTCGTCCAGATCTTAGGTCATAAGTGCAAAAAGGTTTTCAGATAGACCAGGCTGTTTGGATAGACAGAAGGCCCCGCAGAAGACCTATCAGGACAAATTCTCTTCCGGATAAAATTTGTTGAGGTCAGTGTTAACAAAGCTTTAGTAAAACTTTGAAGCAACAGGTAATCAAAAATTAATTAATTTGAAGCTCTTAGCTCAAAAGAAAGCAAAAGACAAAACAGGGAACTCGTTTGTATTTATGATAATTTAATTGCTACTGTTATTACAAAAATAAGTAGCAAAAAAGTTACATAGAAAGTAAAACCTGAAACATGATTAAATATATACATAACAAACAGGTCCGTCGCTAGCTTTTGTGCTCAAGGGGGGCTTCCAAGTCCAAAAAGCAACTGAAAGGGACGCCCTCTAGTGGATAAGGAATGACTTTAAAGTCTGCAAGGGGAAACCTTAAGTATCTTCTTTTTACTCTCTAGTGAAATAAGAATTTTTCTAACGAACGTTTACAGCCTTTATCTGTCGTTGGGGGAAATTCTTATTGGAGAACACTCTCCCAGCAAACGGTACGTTTCACTCCTGCGTCTAACAAGACAATTTCTTAGATTAGAATCTAAAAAAACTCAGGGGACATGAGATTATTTGGTATTGTAACTCCTACATAGATTGAAGATTACCCACGACAATCTCAGAACTGATTTAAGGGATGATTAAAGCCTTTCCAAAGAAATATTTTTGAATGAAACCTTATTCTAAATAATACCAATCTTCCTATTCTTCCTATTCTTCCTAAAGATCTTCCTATTTTTATCAAATTTTTCACCAATTGAGAAGATAAAACGCTCTTTGGGTTAGAAAAGAATCAAAAAGGCACCTCATGTACCTAAGAGTATACATAACTAACATAAAATAATTGGCTTTAAAACTTTCATGCACCAGCTATAATTCAAGAGCTACAATATGAATATTAACCATATCTTTTCTGCATTGTGGTCCAAAGGAATTTGAAGCAATATGTTGTGAAATAAGGTATTTAAACGCTTATAAAAGATCTAAACTCATTTGATTTACGTGTTTTCTACATTTATTACTAAAAGTAACACCTGTTGTTGCGGCGAATTTATATAATATGGCAACGATAATAAACCTTATTTATGAAAACATCTTAAATACAAAACATATTAGCATCAATTCAAAAATATACAATTTTTGATTATTTTACTCCTTACGTTTTACTATGTACTAAATAAAAATATCACGAATAGCTACATAAAACAATAATCAATTGTCATTTGCGGTATGATGACCAAAAAACATCTCAGTTTGTTTCGAATGACAATGACTTGGCTGATCTTAACACTTTATACTTTTCGCTGAAAAAAAGGTGAGCTGGTAATTTCTGGGGTATGGCAATAGTTACGTTGGTTGTAAGCAGCAATTCAGAAGAAAAGAAAGGATTGTTGGGATGTATCAGCGGGGCAGTGTGAATTTCATCTAAGTGCGGAAAAATAGTTAGGATTTCCTAACACATTTTGTTTATAATTGAATAGAATCATCTATTGAGTACAATTAATAATGAACTTGTCGAATCTCAGAATGCAGTCATCCCCAACACAATTGGCATTTTATTAACATTTTTTTATCGTCAGAAATAAGTCTGAGAATTATCAATAAACTTGAGTTACATGAAACTATATCAGGTGTAAAATGACTAAGTTACGATGCTTAAATAAGAAGAAAACTTATTTGTAAAATATTAAAAAAATTAAACAAGTACCCCCTGAAAACATCTAAGTAAACTTGATCCTTGATTATCAAAAATAAACCAAAAGCTTGCGGTTAATCCAAGAAATAAAACCTAAAACCCCTAGCAGAATCGTAATAGCGCTGTGGCAAATCAACTTCTTGGAAACGAACGAGATAACAAACGCAAATAGGATTTAGACATCTAGTTTTCTTTGGGAGAACGTGAAAATGAGATTTTGGTAAAACACAGTTCTTACTGGTGCAAATCAGTGTGCGTAGACAATCTTTTAAGCAAACTATTTGTAAAATCGCGATGTAGCAGAAGGCTGTGATCTACTGCTATCAATGAATGCCCAAACCAGGTACGGTATACCCATGGCATCATAAGCTCAAATGCGAAAAGAAAGCTTTATCTTCCAGTACAAATGTTGTTTCTTAAAAAGCTCTCTGCTCTCGCTGTTACAAAATAGTTTGGCATATCACGTAACTCAAAATCTAACCCTCATAACGCAAAAGACTACAAATTTCTACCTGAAATACACCAACATAAAAACTAATGTACCTTGCCTGGCTTTCCTTTCCCTTTGCCTCTTTTTTTCTTCTTTTTTCCTGCAGTTCCCAAGGTGAGAATCTTGTTGAATGTATCCGGATGCATTCGATGTGTAACCCAGACCGTTAGATTTGAAAGACCAGCTAAAAATATGAAAATGTGTTTTATTACATATATCTTTTTCTCTCAATATGCCGTCTAAGTGTTTTAGAACTGTGTATCTTTACAATGGTTGAACACTGTATGACATTATTATAACTAGTTTTTCGTTAAGTGCCGGATGAGAATCCAAAAGCAGGTCAAAACTCAAAGTCAATCAAATTTTGTTTACTATGCACGAATGCGCTATTGGACAGACTAGAAGACATGCTTTCTTAGACTAAATTTCAAGTAAACCAGATCTTAAATGGAAAGCTCAGGGGCAAAAATCAAAAGCAGTTCAGAAAACCAGAGAGTTCAGAAAACGAGAGTTTATAGCTAAGAGCTATGGGAGGTTGGAGAAGAACTAATTTTCTGTAGCCATGTAAACTTGAACTACGGCCGTGTCTGGCATGCACCTTGTAATTTTAAATGCAAACCTACCTTCCTTGCGGTCTTGTAAGCCCCCCAAAATCTCCCTCCCTCCAAGATCTCCGATAAGATTATCATCAATGTCTAACTCTTTAAGATCAGCTGACGTGGAGATCCACCTGCAAAATTGGGTACAAAAACTCATTGATATATCAGTTAACAGAAAGCAAAGATTAATTGAGATATTCAAGGCGTTCAAGCCTCACTTATATAATTAATAAATGCGAAATACACAATATTACAAAAGATAACACAGAGGATGCAATGTTTTAAGATCAAAATGTTCAAATCTTTTAGAACGATGTCACTCCGAAAATCTGTTTCTTTTTTATTCGTGACAAATAATTTACTTATTTATTCTTTCATTTATTCATTTATTCATTTATTCACTTATTCATTTATTCATTCATTAATTCATTCATTCATTCATTAATTCATTCATTCATTCATTCATTCATTCATACATACATACATTCATTCATTAATTTATTCACTCATTCATTCATTCATTCATTCATTCATCATTCATTCATTCATTCATTCATTCATTCGTTCATTATTCATTCATTCATTCATTCATTCATTCATTCATTCATTCATTCATTCATTCATTCATTCATTCATTCATTCATTCATTCATTCATTCACATCCCTTTAACTGTCATAGCTTCCACACCTGCTGACTGAGGACGTTGAAAAAAGTTCAAATTCCATAATGATAGTGACTTGCTAAGGCCCAAGTATCAAAAAGTCTAGTTCTGTTTTGATGTAAAAGTTAGTTTTCTGTGAACCGCATAAAAACACGTATGTAAAAGCTTTGGAAGTTTCATTACCTTCTTAGAAGCCTCATTGTCAAAACGGGGCCATACTTCAAGGCAATACCGTGAGAATCGATGCAGTTGTCCATTACATGGAGCTTTGTTAGCCAGGGACCTACTTTCGGCGGCGGTGGCGGCGCTTTCTTTTTGGGAGATTTCTTCCTTTTTTTCTTCGCCGACTTTCTACCAGTACTGGTAGTAGAAGAGATAGGTCTGCAGATCAAAACATTATAAAAAGTTAATGAACTGGAGGAAATTTTCACAAACGTAAATATTATGATATAGAGATCTTGTGTACTCAGCAACGTTCAATTGCTTATTTTGCTAGCTAAAAGTAGTATAGCCGAAGGTGTCGTTTGAAGTAAGAACCAGATGACCTTGTGTGACCTCGAATGACCTTTTGAGAAATTGTTCAATGGAAAGGATAAGCAAACATAAAAAATAAGCAATAACTGAACTGAAAAGGCAATAGCTGGATAAAATTGTAAGTTCTATATAGTTCTACGACCAACACCTGCGTGTACATCTGCTAAGATCAATTACAAGAGTCACTACAAATCAAATGAGATTTAATGTCTACGAATTTCAATCGTGGTTTAATGGCCAGCTAAAGCCATTTATTACAACGTTGGAACTTCAGAAGAGGAATTAGCTTCTTTATTTTCAGTATGTTATTTTTCCATAAATAATTCTATAAGTAATCTAACAAGAAGAGAATGATAATGAGAACAATGCACAATATTGCGAAGGTCCATAATTTAGGGATATATGAGAAATAATATGGTTAACATTATCAGAATGTATCTGTAGTTTTATTTGTTTTAAATATTAGAAGATAACGTTATCGACCTCGTTTAGAAGATTACGTCATCCTCATGTGTGGCTTTGAGGAAGACTATGTGCTTTTGTAAAAAAATTAGGACCAAGCCAAAAATGATGAGATGCTGTCGTTATGAGAACTGCGTATGCATGATCGAGTTGCTTACACATGGTACAAGTGTACCCACTTGATTTGCACAAGTTATTCCTTCTAAAATTATCAAATGCTCTGGGTGAAGCCAAATGGATCTTATCTATATACAAAATAACTTTGAGATTCTTTAAGACGCCTCCAAGCTTCTTGCACACGCAAATTTGATTTGTTTCAGGGTGAATTCCAGCTTTGGTTGGATAATCGACAAACTTTTAACGTGCCGTAAGCTCATCTAAGATGTTATTTTCTCGTAAAATCGTAAGCCCGAGCTCAGTCCACTTCCTCCCCCCGAAGAAAAGCATGAGTTTCCGTCTCTGCATTTGAACAACAAAACACATTGTATCTTCCAAAACATTACTTCTTCTATTGATTAAATAGAAAAGCCTTACTTTACGCTTATATTGCTTTTCGTGGATAAGGCACTGCTGCTTCTGATTTTAGACATACTTGTTGGGACGCCAAGGAACCTTTGCCCACCGGTTTCAGAGGAAGAAGCCTGGTTTCTTTCATTCTCTTTCCTTTCCCTTGCTTCTTGTTCGGACTTATCAACTAGCAACCGGATGAGTTCAACCAATCCTTCACATTCCAGTTTGTTTCCATCTAGATAAAGCTCGCTGATCAAAGAAAGAATTAGAGAAAATTATAAGTGTGAAAAGCTTCCAATAGAGATAAAATTGCCAGCAATGAAAATGTGCTTCAACCCTATTTACATTTCAATTAATAGGAGAAGAGGTAAAGTCAAGTTACAGGTTTGAAGATGAAAGGGGCGGCCAGTTGACAATAAAAACACTTCAACAATGTCAAGGTTTACTCGGATCTCTCATTAAATATATTTACTTAGTTTTTGCTGTACAGATAGCTTTAAAACATTTTTTTGGTGATGCAAAAATTTAAAAATTTCTATGAAAAAGCAAACATTGTGAAACATGCTACTAAAGCTTTCTGTTTGTATCCTTTCAGAGCATAAAACGTCAGAACATATATCGAACACTCTAGGCTAGGAAATATATATACCCAATTGTGAACCAAAATAGGCCAAAATAATCAAAAACGCGACTGTTGACTGTTTAGGTTGTTGCACAGGACTGTTGAGGTTGCCCAATCAGTGCCGCTTCCCTATTGAAAATGTTACTAATGGAATCCTAAGGTGAAAACGAACTCCTTATGTCTACAAAAAGGCGGTTTTTTTACTTTTATGCATATTATAGATTCTAAAACTTTCCATCTAGCAGTTTTCAACATTTGTCTCTGCGAGTGTTGTTTTAATTAGCTGTTACACCATGGGATTTCGTGAATTTCAGCCCATAATCTGTCCAGTTCTGATACAGGAAATTACTGTACAGCCCTATCAAGACAGCAACCAACACTATAAAAAAGACTGGTAAACACCAATCAAAAAAATCAAAATGTGCGTTTTGCTAGCAACAATTTGAAAATGGCTACAATAACTTCATCTCAAGCAGTGAGACTGCACATGACAAGGTGAAACGTGAACTAACCTGACTGCACTCTCACTAACAGCTTTACCGAGACTGGAGCCAGATTCAGATGAAAGATTGCAGAATTTCAAGCTCAGTTTTGTCAGTGATTTGTTTCCAACAAGACCAGCACATATGGCTGCGCAACCTTGGTCACCAAATCTAGAGAAAAATCAAAACATCTATCAATGTCACTTCTTGGTAGCCCTCTACATATCCTTAACTTACCTTTTGTATATCATGTAATTTACTATATATGTTATACTAGTACTTTTGTTTCCTACCTTTCAAAAATTTTTGTATCCCCCTTTACGTTTTATTTCTGCTACTTGTAATACAGATACCGAAAGACAATTCTTTAAAAAGAGTGGGGAAAGGAGCTTGAAAATTGGTAAATATGAGAGTTTTCATTTTCCATTGATGTTACTCATGAATTTTTTAAATGTTCCCACTTTTCGTGTCATTTTTAAATTTTTGAAAAGGAAAAGCTAACGTAATTCCACACGGCTCACTGATAAAATGTACAATGTAATTAATCTGCTAAGCGTAAACATCACTACTATTGGACTGATGCTAGAATTGACTGGCAGTTGTTAGTCTCCAGAACAAAAACTGTTCCTGTTGACAGTATCCGTGTGATATTATCATATTCCATGCTATTACATGAAGTATTTATTGTTTCAGTGAAAAGGTAGAGGGAGTCCTGCCATCAATTTGGAGCTATTCTCTCAATATAAAACAGAAAACTCACTCGTTGTAATCCAGCACAAGAGCAGACAGGCTACAGGTTGTGAGACAGCTATGAAAAAACGAAAAAATTAAAAAAAATTTATAAATTGAAGAAACTTTTGCTTAAAAATTGAAGCTTCTATATTTCAGCTTTTCAGTTACAACACTTATGCATAGCCTCTATAAGTGATATGATTTTGATTTAAAATGTAAAGGATTCAAGATTGGGTCATTCTGTTAAGTGAATATTCTAGCCATATGAATAACATGGAGCTGGGTTGCTGAAGAGACAAGCATTCAAAAGAAGATCAATCAGTAAAAAACTGCAATACACAGGGCTGAAAAGCAAGGCTGGATTGGCAATTACATGTATGGAAGTTTGCAATTTTTCCATTCTAATTTGGGTTTTTTTGTTGGTTATAATCAAGGATGATTAAAGCCCTTCTGGAACCTGGTAGCTAAAAGCTGAAACAATGAAAATCTATTGAAAGCTAAATCTGAATAAATATCCCAACTTTCTGCATATAGTTTTCGTTTTTGCTCAATATTGTTTGTTATCCAAAGTAATAGGGAAATGATAAGTATATACTTACTCCTTGAAACTCTCCAAAGAGAAGCCATCAATCTTGCAATCAACAAGCTCAAGGTAACTTAAAGAGTACATTGGCTGCTGAAAGAAATTGCTCTGAAAGGTAAACAAAATCCAAATTAGTGATGGAACATCACTGCAATTCCTAAATGAAAACAATTCCTAAATGAAATTACTTGTGTCTTAACATTTCTTCAAAACATTTTATTGAAAGTTGGTCACTACCAAAAGGCGAAAAATAAAATTAAAAAGAACACAACATCAAAATTGACTTTTGCTTTAATTTATCACTGCAGGAAACCTTTGATGCTACAATTTGAGAGAATTGACAGAAAGTGCAGACAAAGTTGCACCATTAATTACAAAAACTTGTAAGTTATCTAAATTTGAAGAAGAATACTGAGAGGAAGCAAAAGCATATTGGTGTGAAATTTTGTTTGGCTAAACTGGTTAGAAAAGTTTTGCTAGAAGGTCCTTAAGAGGCTAATAGAACAAAAGTGAGTAATTATAAGAATATCATAAGCCTTTGTTTAATTTAACATACCAATGCTAAAAGGTCTTCATACTTCACAGTTATCTCCCAAATAAACATCTCCTTCAAATGAAGGTATCTTATGCTACGAATCGCTGCAATTACTGGTGACAACTTTACTTTGAGCTCTTCATCTGCAGGACCATTTGTCAAAATTATCTGGAAATAAAGAATAAGTAACTACCCTCCTTGTTAAAAAACATGAAATTAAGAAACACAAGGTTCAAATACCCTAAAGACAAAGAAACGTCTAAGAAACATTGTCAGATTCAGAGAAAGGGTAAGGGAAAAAAAAGTCAAATGCTTTCATTAGATTTATTTTTCCCTTTCCCTCTCTCTAAAAAATGAATCGAATCTACTGTCTTCATTGTATGCTGAGAATTGAAGAGGCACATAGATCTGGAAGCTAGGGCTACAGACCTTCTCTAATTGGTACATTAAAACGAGTATGTTCTCAAGAAACATTTAAGAAGCCTTAGGGGCTCATATCAACAAATTGTTATAAAACTTTGAGCCTAACTGGTGTAAAAAAAGATGTGCATAGAAATGTTCAAAACTAACAAGATCCCTAGAAATAGAAATGTCCCTAGGAATTTATTGTCCATTAGTTTCAAAACTTCCTTGGAACTGAAGAAAAATACATTATATCCAAAACTGACAAGAAAATTAGATAAACCCCAGGCCTGTTTGTAAAAAATAGCCCACTCGAGTGGCCCATCACTCATGTGACTTCTCTTGCATGAGCGATCAATCTGATAGTGATAAAAATGATCCTGTTAGAAGATACCCTTTTATTTGAGGTAATATGAAATGGAAACAAATTTTTGAGATGACCTTTAATGCACTCCAAATTAAGTATCTAATGCACAAAGATTAAATAACTGATATAAATCTTCGTTTATAAATTTTATGTACATCACAAAGGACTAGACGTTAATGACAGATGACTGCAAATGTTCCAAGTGCTAATGTAGTTCAAATATTAAGTGCCTATAGTATTCCATTGCAATGTCGTTGATTCAGCTTACTTATATTTACTGTGTTTTGATATACTGGCTTTGTACTGATATACTGGCTTTGAATGTCACTTCTTAGGTCAAAAGAAATGTGTTAATTGATAAGACATTTATTCCTCACAATTTGCATGCATGCATGGTTGGGTTTGCATGAGTGCTGATGTCATCACAAGTGTTTGCTCGCATCAAACGAAAAAGCCTGATACCCATAGATTTTTCATTATTATATCTTATTTACATATTGCCAAAATCAAGCTCAATTTTTTTAATTCTGCTACGAGTTTGCACTATCTTTCCTGGAAATAAAAATTTGATCATTTCAATAACAACCTAATGAACCCATAAGAGCCAATTTTCCTTGTTGCCTCATAGCTAATACAATTTCTAAGCTTTACAACAAAAAGGTATGATATAATAGAAACTGTATCAGCGATACGATGCCACACAGTACAAGACGATCCACGATTATACCATTATACAAGATGATTTACTAAACTATACCACAAGAGGTGTAATCAAGCACATCTTTCCAGCAGCCAACAAACAATGATGAAAAAATCAAGCACTAGCAGTTTAACAAACAAAGTAGAATAAAAAATAGAGGGGTGCAATGACTTGAAGGTAGCAAGAAAAATATTATTACATCATTATTCAAACCAAAGACTCATAAGAAATCATTGCATTCCTCCTACGTGCTTTTACTGAATTTTAAAAATGCATTCGTGCATTACTAACCTTAAGAAAGAATTAACCCAGCAAACATTTATTAGAAAAATACCTTGGAAAGAAGCTGTCCTTCATCTGCATACCTCCTCATTTGCTTTATAACATCCTGGTGGCACAATGAGTGCACTGTAGCACATTTTGATTCATAATTATTTCTAAGCTCTTTCAAAAGAATTGCAATCTTTAATTTCTCCTCTTCCCGCTTCTTCTCTTTCAATCCTTTTTTCTGCCCTTTTTTCTTTGGTGGCATTTCTGGCTTGATCCTAATCTAATTTCATTGTAGTATGACGATATCCATTCTACAAAATCAAATTTACGAATGTCTTTATTTCTCTCAAAGTTTTTTAAGAGATATTATCTTTTGCAAACATAGGAAGAATCCAGCTAACCAATGCCGTATTGAATAAAAATTGATACCGCAAAACTGTCTTTGGATAACGGTTCAGTCTGACAACCTCCCAAATAATTGCCTACTCTTCATGGTATCAGTCCTTGATTGGGCTAAATTAGAGATTAAACTCTAGCTAGAGAGCCTATATTAAATCTTGAGAACTACAGCAAACGATGAAATTTGAGACATTGTCTATTCCTTTCGAATATCCAGAGCTAGATCTATGTAAATTGTGAAAACCATACCAATCTTGTAAAATTCATGGTGCTATAAATTAACTTGGTAAACTCAATCGAGAACTTCATTGCCCTTTTGGCAGCCATGTTTAAAGAATCCGTTACCATAGATACTATCATATCAACGTGAGGCTGCCTGTATCACGGTAAGGTAAGAACATGTGATAGGTGTTTCAAAAACAGTGACTAAGAGTAGAAAGTTGTCCTTTTGGCTAATTACAGGTCTGGGATCTCGAGCGCAGGGATTTCATAAACATTTGCGCTACAAGCTTTGCGCAATTCAAGTGATGTCAAATCAAACGGAGAACATCAGAGTCAAGTGACAGGTCAGGAACTCAGTTGAAATGGCCCAATGAAACATAATAATTTTGATACAATTTGGTTCTTGAAACACAAATACAACGTTTTTATTATCATTCGGGAAAAATTGCATGAAGATGCAATTAATCAATAAAAAGACAAGCAAAATATTTGATAACATTTTAGCAGTTGTTTCAAAGCAGCTTAGGAATATATCTATCCTAAGGTACATTTAAACTTCTTTGCTACTTTCCTTGTAGCAATGGAAACTTTTCATTTTGAACTCCAGTTAAAAATAAAATTACAAATCTCACTATTACAAGGTAATTTGTAAGGCTAGCCTGTTTTTACAAAATAAAACTATTACAATTGTAATAATGAGTAAAAAAATAACGGTAAAGGGGAGTAGCTCTGGGTTAGTCCAAGTTTTGTTTCTACAGCAGAATGTAGTATGTGGTATGAATGGAGATGATAGAAAGCTTGGAGATGAGGTAGCGTTTCTGTTGATAATCAATGGACAAAGAGTCACACATTTCGATGAATGAGCTGCAGAAGTTGCCAAAAATACCAAGTGAACTTATGGAAAGATTGACAAACGAGACTGACTTGAACTGACGTTTTAAGTCAGATATGAGGGTGGCATATTTCTCTGACTTTCTGTTAGCATTGCAGTGGAGATTTGTTTCAAAGCCTATGGTTAGCTCTAAAACGTACAGACAGTTTTCCTTAGTTTTGAGACGTAAATCAGGGCGTAGTTGATCTCCAGTTATGATAGAAGGGAAAAGAAAGCCTGGTAAATCTGCGTAGAGAGAAGACCCATTTATTGCTTGGAAGGAAGTGGCTAGAAAGTTTAATGCAGAATTATGACGCCAAGTATAGCGGCCTTGGTCAAGGTACACTTTGCATCCAGCAACAACGTGTAGAAGTGTTTCTGGAAGAAGACAGAATTCACAGTCAGATGTTTGACTAAGGTTCCATTTCAGCAGATTTTTACGAGTTGGAAGAGTGTTGTTAAGATACTTGATGGTAAAGCTAAAGATGTTACTAGGCAAATTGCTCTGTGTACTTGATCAAATACCGTTCAGCTTTTCCAGTGAATGTTTCAGTAGGAAGGTAATTGTAGCTCCCTGAGATGGTTAGCTTTGAGAAAGACGTTTTTGTTGTCTGATTAGACAGCCTTTAGTACCTCTTTCGGATTACAATAAGAATAACTAATATTTTGACAGGTTGACTTGTTCAGACATAAACTATTTGCTATCATTCAAGGACCTGTGTTCCTATCAACAATCACTGTAATTAAAATTGCTTTAAAAAGGAGAATAAAATGTCAAATGGATAACATCAAGATAGTATAATGTACAATTAAAAGATAAGAAATCATTAGGTTCAAAGACTTCGACAGTTTTAGTTCCTTTTTGAATAGCAAGATTGATATTTCGTCACGGGTTTTTTTTGAGTCGGTTGAAGATTCGGGCTCCCTGGCTCTTTTGAGTAACCATTTAGGTCTTCAGGTAGTAGATTATGCAATGATTTAAGCTCGTCAATGGCCACCCTCGTGCTTTGTGTTTTTTCAATGCTGTCCCATGACGTTATCTTTGCTCTAGGGTTGACAATTCTGGCTGCTCCATTTTGTATATACTGTAGCTTGTTTAGTATTTACCGGCAGCTTAGAAAGTGTTGTTTTCTGTGAACTTTTTTTAAAATTTTGGGTAATGGCATCACGAGAGGTCATGCTCTTTCTCTCGATGCCAAATTTTTTTCACTTCTTGTTTCTTGAACCTGTTTACATAGGGTAAAAGAGGCAATCTTTAGGCATCCAATGTGCATCAAATTGTCCAAAAGGCCTTGAAGTTTAGAGAGGCTTAATAAAGTAATTAATCCCATTTAAGGAATTGAATTAATCAAACGTTACGAAAGTGTGCCTAAAATTAGCACGATTTTTTACGAAGGTAACCTTAGAGTTGCCTTTAAAAATTTTTATCAGTTTTCAAGAGACATCATTGTTACATAGCTTCCCACCTTCCAGACTAAGTGATAGACTACCAGTAAAGGCTCTTTTTATATGGTTTTAGCCCCCCCCCCCCACTTTTTTTAGATCCCCCACTTTTCTCAACGCTCCGCGGTGCTTGCCGTTGAGCCATTAACACTATAATGCGACTCGCGACGTTACAACTTTTGTCGCTTAAGAATAATTCAGGAATTACGTTCAAAATAATAAAAATTTAAGAATATTGAGGCTTAGCAAAAAATTAGGTGTTCTTATAAAAAAGCGTGTACGGTGGTACTGTTTTTCAAGTGTCAGTTTCATATTTGCCACTACGGAGGAAATGGTCTCACTTTGACGCAATATCGTCAGGGGCCAACAAGTCACAAAATGATAAAATGGAAAATGTTTGTTGTGATGAGCATTACGATTTGTTGATCAAGACTCAATCGACGTGCGAAGGCATACTTGCAAGTGGAAGATCCGATATCTGGTCAACCTATGGCGCCTTGAGGCGTGCTACAGCGGTGTTTTGTGATATTCTCTTACAGGGTTTGGCTGTTGAAGATGAAGAGGTGGGTGGAACCTTTGACATGGCGGTTGCCCTAAATAATTCTAGAATTTAAGTTGTATCAGTTAAGTAAAGACAGCATCAGCTTATGATAATGGAGGAATATTATTCTAAATTTTAATTTCGTAGTGTTTGTATAGAATATTCCCGACAATGTTTGCTCAGGAGCAGCGGCTGTTTGGCCGGGCCAAAGTTTAAGTAAACCAAGCAAATATTTGATTTGGCTTCATACATTTTAACTTTCCATTGATTTCAAAGTAAGAAACATAGATGGAAGGTTTATTTTTTATATCTGCAATTAAGTTAAATGTTTTTTGTACGGTTGACACATGACAATGGTCCCATTTTATTTTTCCACACGGTAGCCCTACCATTTGAGAGTTTTGGTTTAAAGGCGAAATGTCAAACTTGAATGTAAAAGTAAACTAGAAAAAAAAATGATTCAAAGCTAAGATTACATTTAGACCATGAGATACAAAATTAAGATGGAAAAAGGTAGAATGTGGACGAAGAAAGATAAGTGCAAGGAAACTTTGTTTCTTTTGCAGAAAGTCAACTTCAAAAAATTTAGAATGTTTTCCCTGAATTCATTCACAATTAGGAGTTTGTAGTATTCATAATTTTAAATGTTATTACCTAACAATTGTGTGTACAGCTAATAAAGGCAGATGTGCAAGCAAGCAATTTATTGTGCCAAAACTGCTCATCAAAGTGGAGCTATTTGATATTTAAATGTTTGTTATCTAAATGCAATCTAATTCAGGTCTTTTTTCTCTTTGATTTAATCTAGAATACTTTGGTAGTTAAATTAGATGCCCCACAATCAAGTTTATTCTTCTCATAAAAATACCAGAGTGGAATCCACTGATAAATGCAAATAAACAATAGCAATACAGTGGGAATTCCAGGCCTTTTCATTTGATGCCAGTGATCACTCTTGATTGCGTCAGTACTTGCGCAAACTCAACCATGTAAGCATTTCATTGCTCATGCAAAACAGTTAATTGTGAGGAATAAGCAGTTAAAGCTGTTTTAAACGATGTTTGGAACAAAATTTTGTAATCATCCAGCAATAACGTCCATATGATCTTGTGATGTACATAAAATTCATAAATGAAGCACATTCATATTTAGTATTTAATCTTTCTTGGAGTGGATCAAAACAAGGTTATCATAACGGTTTGTTTTCATTTGATATTACCTTACACAAAAATACCTTATAACAGGATCATATGTCTTTTGTAAACATTACAAATGCTTTAAGCATTGTTGATTATTATCATAACTTTCAGACAGGTCACTCCTGCAAGAGAAATCACATGAGTGCTAGGCCACTCGCCTGGGCTATTTCATACAAAAAGGCCTGAAAACTGTTAGTCCATTTGGTCTTCATTTTAATCCGTAGGAATAATGTTTGCCTTTGCTGTGATTGCATGCTTTAAATGAAAATGTTGCTTCATTTCTGTTTCTTTATAATTTTATGCACAATAACCTCATATGTCGATTTTAAACACTCTCCAAAATTGGCTGCTTTTCAGAGACCTTGGCTCAAAATTGACAGAATTATGAAAGTTGCCCATATGCATGCAGTTGATGAACTTAGAATCTTTTACTAATTTTGTTAATGTTATAATTTTTATTTTATATTTCTTCATATTAATCTGGTTAGAATAAAAGGGTATTTCAACTGTAATCAGTGGCTCAAATGTCAAAATGGAAGGGCAATAGAGTAGGAAAAGTTCGGTAATCAATTTTAGATCAATATATCAAGTGTGAGGACCGTGATCATAGGCTTCCTTGGCCCTCTGTTACACAGATTATATGTACACCCGTAAATGATGTAAGGCAGAGAATCCTGTTTTCACACTAGTGACAGCTTGAACTTTGGTTTTGCTATGCTAAGTTTTATCAAAATTTTACTGTCTACAGAATCTTGCCTTTCTGAAAAGACAGCAGCACCATGTTTTTCAGTTTTTGCTTTTAAGCTGTTAAAAACTAATTCACCAAAAAAGTCATCATCTGAACCTTACAGGCTTTTGATGTTTTCCAATTGAGTTTGAAATTTCAATTTCCATTTCTTTGCTTTCAAATTTTCAAAGCAATGAAGTCAATTGCAATTAGCCTTAGATATAATTACTTAGTTTGCATACCATATAATTTTGGACTTGATAAGTCTTACAATTAACAATTGACTCACTTTTAGAAACCTGATCCCTATACTGCAGATGTTAGGTTCTTAACACTTAAAATAAGCAAACGTAAGACATTTGATCGTTATGAAATAGAACATCCCAGAGTTACCCATTTTAGAATTTAGAACTCTGGATGATAGAGGCCGTAATGAAAACAATGGCTACAGATTTTTAATTTCTACTGTAACTAAAACAACGTCCATTGTTAATCAACAAATTCACATTTTCATTCTAAATATATTTCTTTAATATGACAAAGTTTTACAACCAAAGTAATGGAAGAACAGCCTCTTTCCACCATGAATTTTTTACTGGTTGCCCCACCTGAGCAATTTGTGCTAAATATCGAGCAAATGAATCCCATCATGGCGTCAAAAAATCTGAGTTGGTCCATTTTTCTTGGATTTTGTTGAAACAAGTTTATTTCTACTCTGTATTAATTAAAATATTGAGATTTTAGTCAAATTGTAAAGGAAAGCCGATTAAACTAGCTGCATATTTTGTTTACAGAAACTTAAGAATGTTTTCATTTGTTGCAGGAATTACTGAAATATTTGCTTGATAACAACCCAAAACATTTTGTCAAGGAAACAAGCCTTAGTTTTGATTCCTCAGTTGCAACAAGTTTGGAACAGTTCATAGAAGAGGAATGTCTGCTCTCCTATTCTGCATCTTTAGTCATTGAGAACTGCTTTCTTGATGGTGATAGGAAGCAGATTTCAAAGCTTTACAGAGGTTGGTTTTTTTAAACTAATGAAATGCTGTTTAGCAGGAATACTGCCTTTTTGGTTTAACAAGTGTTGTGAAATTTTGTCCCACATAAACTGTTTGTTCTACACTGCTGTAGGTAGGTAGTTTGTTATAAGTGGGGTCATCAGGGATCATGTAACAACAGACTTTGATGCAATTTATATAGAAATTATGGAGATATTACAATATTTTGACAGAGTTCTTCACATTAGCTGAATGTGGAATTGCTTCGAAATGATACATGAAATACATAACTTTTTAAAGTTTTAAGGAGGGTCTGGTCAAAACTTGTTTTTACTGGAACGTAGCTTGTATCAACATTTTTGAGACATGGAATTGTGGCTGACAATGAGCGGCACAGAGGATCTCAACTAAAAAGAGCATGAACAAGTGTTTTCTACCCCTCTTGATGACCCCTACCTGAAAGCTGAAAGATTTTTAGAAGTGCAATTGGCATTTGATTGGCCTCAATGATTCCTTGGTATTTAGAATTTTCCTGCTTTCTCCCTCTCCTTTCTGTACTCTATATTGCTCTCCATGTTGTGCAACAGGTTTCCCTAAAGACTTACAAGTTTTGTCATCATTCTCATCACTATCCAAATTCTTTCCTCAGAGAATGCATTTGTGAGGTCAAGACCATGCTTGCTGTGTTTAAAGATATGCTTTGCAGCTCTGGAGCAAAATAGCTTGGATCTTCTAACCTCACTGAAGAATACTTGTGTAAGTATTTTGACTGATTCAAAGTATAGTTAAATATTGTTGGACTGAATTTATCTTTTCTTTTTGTTGGGCTGCATTTGCTACAGAAGTTATTTTAAGCCACTTCAGAAGTACCCTCAAAAAGTCAAGTTTCCAAAAAGATTTGATGAATGTAGACTATCAAATTACAGTTTAAAGAATTCAAGATTCATTTTTCATAAAGATGTTTAGAGCTGTCTCTAAGCAAGACTTTACTGGATTTTATTTGCCAAAAGAAAATAATGCTGCAATAGTTGATCTGACCAGATTCTGAGAGTCCTGCAGACCTTTGTTAATCTCCGGGGAATTGTTAATCTAGTTACTTGAATCTCAGACGCTGTAAGCTCAGTTTAAGCATTGATTTCTATTAGCAAATGAATTTGTTTGCCACTTCCCTGCAGTTGGTAAAAAAGTCCCATTTTAGGTAAAACAATATATAAAAGTATTTGTTGTCATTGTAAAAATGAACAGTTGATGTGATGCTTCTAGGGTCCTTTTGCTCCAAGTTCTATATGCTTCTCCTCTTTCGGCAATCTTTTTTAAGAAAGGATTATTCATGTAAATTCAATAGTATTCAGAACTGCTGTGTGTACAAATCAATAACCTTTGTTTTACTGCAGCAAATCTGCAGTGGTTTTCTGCTTTGATCTTGATCATATCGCTGTAAACAAAAGTTCCTTAACTGAGGCCCCTTAATGTAAATAACCTACATGTCAATTAAACCTCTCTGCTACATAATGTTGCTGTGCTTTAATTGTCTGTCTCTTTCAAATATGTTCTGTTTGTCCTTTCAACTTTGCATACATACCTGTCCAGAAATGAAGCCACAAAGTGCCTAATCTTGTCATGTCAAGGAACATTCACCAAAAGTTGGACCTTATAGGCAGTCTACTCATTTATCTTATTTCATTCCTGGTTTAATTTTTCACAGTGTTTTTCTGACGTTTCTACTAGCTAATTGCATCTTGATAGTAATTTACAACCAGTTGAATGACAGACATTTACCAAAACTTTGCTTTTTGTATAACTGCCTTTCTGTAGTAAAAACTACCGAAAAAATTTGGTTACCACATTTATGATAATATTTCCATTGAAAAATACACTTTGATTTTTCCAGGCAACGAAAGAACAATTTTTTCAATACATAAAGGAAGAACGAGGGTTTGACCCAATTATTCTAGATCACAAAGATGAAAAGACTCTCACTTCATCTGTTAATACTTCAAGCGTTCCTAGTTATTCTTACTCAATTAGCTCTGGAGATGAGATTGGCTCGGATGCCCAAGATAGCATTCTAGAAATATTCGGGAGTCCCCCTGAAAATGCCATACAGTCGGATGGTTTTACTGGAAAAGTTTTCAGACAGGATGTCTCTAAGCGTCGAAGTTTGCATCAGGACGTGCTTATGACCAGCGCGTTAGCTGCAGTCATGGAAACAAACGAAGATGGCGTAGTATGGTTTGATGATACAGACAGGAAAAGTCTTGTAGCCGAGCCAGTCGATAAAGCACGTCAACGAATCGCAAGAATGAGAGAAATCTCTCGAAGTGAAAGTAGCTTATTTAATGAGCATGGTCATATCGAGACCGAGGGAAACCGTTTATTTGAGGACCGGAACACAAACGAGGCTGTTTTGCAGTCTGATTCAAAAGCTTCAGTGACCGCAAAAACACCTAACGCGTCAAAAACTGACGAATTAACTGACGATATCACACCAGTATTGTTACGCAGATCCAGCAATGTTGTTACTACACCGTTCAAACGGGGCCATAATCGATCAAAGTCGGATCAAATCGGTGTTTTAAAAACGGTTGATGCATCTGACACCGAAGACGGGAAAAGAGAAGAAGTCTTATTACCGAATTCTGCACCCGAAGAAAGCCGTAAGTATACGTTAATTGGTATCGAGTTTGTGCGATAAGAAGTTAGAAATAGGAGAAATAGGTTGGTTTGTCACTATTTTTCTGACATTAAAAAGCCATCAGAGGCTAGCAAAAAAGAAGACAATTTTTTTTCCGCGCGTTTGTAGTTAAGTCAAAGCCAAACGAGCTCAAATTTCTTCAGAAAAGACCTTGAAAATTTTTGGTGATGCACCAATGAAAATTTATGTTCAAATGACTTCTTTCGATATTAGAATACACGATTTCATCGTTAAGAAAGAAGCATTTTGTACTAAGACATAAACATTCTATGCATTCTGGCATCAAAATGATGCAGAGGCTCACTGTGAAAAGCGGGGATCGTGGCATAAGATTCCTTGCAAAGAGGATTACTGGGAGTTCTAAGTGGTCCAAACTCTTTCTAACCTAAATTTTGCCGACCTTTCATGATTATTATCGGATCTTTTTAAGTAATTTTACGTTGCTTAACGGCACTTGTACTGATGCCCCCCTTTTGTTCCCTAGGCCATGAAGGATATTATTATCAACATGAAGACGGGCGTTTGTTTCCTAAGCCATACAAAGGACAATCACTGATCAGCTACCTGGACTCAAGAATTTACGATACCGGAGCAGAACTTGACAAGGTATTTTTATTTGTATTCATTGATATCTAACTTCCATAGGTAGTTTACCGAGAAGATGTGCACATCGAGCAGTGTCCTGGTCCTTCTTCTCAATGTGACCACACCCCGTGATTCATATGCCTAGAATTACAGGGAGCTAGCGACTCTCCTCAACTAAAAACATTGGTCGCGGCAGGGACCCAAACAAAAAACCATCGCAGTCCTTGCTACTGGGTCATCATCACCGATCGATCATCATCACCTATCACGATCGAAGATAGGCCGGTTCTCGAATCAGGATAATCTAGAGATTTTAGTTTAACGTAGATTTTTAGCCGTTAACAGTATTTAGAATAATACCTTATCACATGAAAATAACGCTGTACATTAATCAACGTGAATTGAAGAATACAGTGTTAATTAAAACCCTGTTAATTTCATGACTGCGTAAATTTCCATTCCGTTGTTAAATTCCTGGCATTGAATAAACGTCCGTCAAATTCATCCCACTTTGATTTTTGTGTAACTTTTCAAATTATTGAAAATAGCCATATTTAACGATTATGTCTTAGATATATCATTTTTATTGTATCTGAAAAACGAGGATGATAGAAAGCGTCCAAAGTGGAAGGACTGGACTGTGTTCTTTTCAGTTCTATTAATTATAATAACATATTTTCTAGGCTTTAATTAAGGTTTCCGAGAAACTAAAAATACCTGTTATAACATTCGAATGTCCTCATTATCAACTGCCTCTCCCTGATATTCCACATCTTCGTTATCACCTTTTTAGGAAAATAATAATAAATTATAATAATTTCGTATTTAATCGAGATTTGTTCAGAGGTATGAAGCAATGGTTTGTTTACATTCTTTTGCAGGAAAATGCACATTTTAGCATCTGTGAAGCACTAATCACTGCCATTGAACAGGTGATATATATATTCCATGTATTAGCCGATTTATAAGCAAGTAAAATGCTTGTTTTTCATATGGATATTTAGAATCAAGCCTGCTATTTTTTTATCAAGTTAGTTTCGTTTTTTTCTATTAAGGTAAGCTTTCAGGTAGATAATTGAGAAAGATAGGATTATATCTCTTTCCTTATATAAACATTATGAATTTTCGCAAACTTTATATTCGTATACCTAATTAGTTAGCCTTTCAATGATATGTTTGTTTTGAGTTTCAGATGAGATGCTCAAAGCAGTTCGACTCAGAAAGTGATGAAAGCGACGAGGAAATAAGAGCATTAAAACGAAAAATAAAAGAGAAAAAATTAAGAAAACGGATGTCAAAAATAGAGACTCAGAACGCTTTTAGTGAACGAAGCACTTCAAGCAATTCACGATCGACGTCGAGTTTTTTCAGCGACTCAACTTTCAGCTCGTCTTACAGTAGCTCGGCTACAGGTAAAGGAAAACTGTGTTGGTATACAAAATGTCTCATGTCTTTTCATCCCGCTTACGGTCATAAATAAGTCAATTCAGATTTACTGCAGTCTATGAAATCGTGATCGAAATAGTGATTTCCAGTGTCCCTTGGAGGTATAGTTTTATATATATATATATAGATTCGTTGGCCTGGACTGGTGGTACAACCCGGTTCACTACGCGGAAATCTTAAATGCTTAAGTATTTCGCCAATTGGCTAGCACAGACTGGAAAATGAATCATAGACAATTGTAAAAATTTTTGACCGGAATCGTTGTTCTAGTGTTACAGTGTCATTTCTAATTTTGAACCAAGCTGTACAGGTTTAAAAATCTCCTGTCACGCCTTATGCCACTGAGGTTTATTTAACGAGGACTCGTGTCACCGGCCTTATGCCTTTCTAAGAATGCCAAGTTTTTTTTATTGCATTTGTTATGTAATAAACATGATATTATAATGAAATTATATTTGCTGAAGCATTTTTGAATTTCCTTGCAGATGAGACAATCCCAAAAGATGCTACATCGCAGAAGACGCTTAGCAGGAGTTGGGATAATGTGTCTTTGAGTCCGAACCAAAGCAAAACGAACGTAAATACCGAGTCTACCAACAATCCGAAGCCGGCAGCTCATACCATAGAAGAAACAGCACCGGAACCAAAGCCGGATGATTATTCTGCAGAAGTAGTTGCAAAGCTGTTGCTAAAGAAATTTGTTGGGCGAAAACTGCCCGCAGCATCAGAATTAAAATGGATTGTATCCGAAGTCCAGGTTCCGCAGAATATCCTTCCATTACCGAATGCTTGGCCTGTGTCACCGGATGATGCGCAGCCAAATGGTTGGGGAATGTCGGGTGAAGATGCAAATAACATCAAGAACTTCAGAAAAGCATCAATGCCCGTATGTAAACATTTTTGTTGGCAAACATGTCAGAGGTCACCTACCTTTTAAACACCTACCTTCCTTGGAGCCATTGTAGCATCTAGAAACAACAATTAGATGCTTTTAGGAGTTACTCGGCCAGTTCAAGGGGGTTTACATAGGCTTTCTTTTCTTAATGTGCCAGTATTTTTGTATTTGCTCTAATCGAAATGTCAGTATTCTTGAGGTTTATCTAGCCCCCTTCCAATGTTTATAAAAGCAAAGGATATTTGACCATCGGACTTTTCCATCTAAGTCTTTCATCCACTTTCCAAAATTACCATCTATTCCACAATTTTTAATTTCTAAATCCAGTAGATTTCCAGGCATAGGATGCCATTATTCTGCTTCGGCCTTAAGCTCTTCTTTTAATATATCTCTTATCATACTAACCATTTTTATAACCTTTTTCATCGCTCACAAAAGCTCTAATTAGGAAGTTATGTTATCATATATTGTCTTACAATAGCTTTAAAGATGCCTTGTAAGCATGTGTAAACAAAGGATACAAGTTGTTTGATATACAATAGTGAAAGCTACAATCCTAGTTTGAAGAAACTAAAAAAGATTTCGTCAATAGTGATAACCCAGTTAAGAAAAACGCAGTTTCGGTCAAAAGTATCTGTAAGCATTCACTGCAAACTTATAGCATCTGGTAAGTAATGAGGTATTCTAATTCATCAGGTAAGCAACAATGAATCCTATAGGAAGCAACTTAGGCTTTGGTGTGTTAAACTAGACGTAAACGTAAGCGTAAACGTAAACATTATATGCTTTATACGTTATATCTAGCCTGCTGCGAGTCTGCACGCAGGCTAGTTATATCAGGCACAGAAAAGTTTTAAAAACATCTTTCTCTGGGCCAATGTATAATGGCAACTGAATCTTTGCGATCTGGTTTACTCTATATTGATCATATTATTATTATTTGACATTCAACAATACCTTTGACATTTTATTTCAACATTTTGTATTTTTAGACTCGAATTCGCGGAAATTTGGAGTGGGCTCCTCCGAGGCCGCAAATAATTTTCACTTCTCACCCTTACATGAAGTAAGCTATCATTTCATACATTCGTTTTATGTTAAGTACCGTGAAAATAAATCTGCAGATAGATTTGTCCTTATAAGGCCTTATTACCCGACTTTGAAAGATTTATTCATTTTATCCATTACGAAATCGTATAGCCTCAAAAATTGAAAGTTTGGCACCGGAAATAATTATCGAGCACTTCAGCTATAATTTATTCTAGAAAATTCAAGCAGTTAAACACTCCAAGATCATTGTAAGATATCTTAAAACATTAACTTTTGAAAATACTTGAAAGGATTTGATATTTTGAGATATATTTCCTAAGTTTTCACAGTATATAAAAACATTTTTAGATTAAGCTTTTTAAGAATAACCTTTTTCAAGTTTTAGAGAAACTTTTGCAAACAAATTTTGAGACATTTCTTTAAAAGTTGAAATTTTCTTTCAGACGAAAATCCGCGCTCCAAAAGCAGCATTATCGTTGTGCTGGTTGTGGGTTAAAAGTCACTCCAAGTATGTTTATGTTTTTATTTATACTGTCTTTTTGCATCCCCATATTTATATCTCGATAAGCCTGTTTTGTTTTCTTTGAAGCAAAGTTGTTTTGCATTGAAACACGTTATGTATGTTCTCTTTGGATAAAGCTCTAAAACTTCGATTCCTATGGCAGATTGGGAAGCGTCTTTAAAGTTAATTTTTGATGGGAGGAGGAGAGGGGAGGGGGCTAAAAATGCAAAATGCCAAAAGCAAGATTATTTCTTATTGTTTTTGTTAAATTTTTGGAAATTATTAAGCGATCTCAAGCCCCCCAGCAAGGACCTCTGTTTCTGCAGTCCCTGATTAAGCCAATTTTCAAAAATCACACTTTCTCGAAACAAATCCAAGAAGATTTTCCATATCTGCGTGTAATCATTCGTAGGTCGTCTGTTTCATTAAACCCGATATCATCTTCTACTGAAGTAAAACTCGATAATTTTTATTATGGCATATTTACTAAGTGTTTTCTTACTTTGCCTCAACCTGTCATTGATTCGGTGCATAGGCCGTGTGAAATGTCATGTAATATTTTGTACCGCGTACCAATAATTAGCTCCAATTATTGTGATTGCGTGACTTTGCTATTCGCTTCAGTTACTCTGTAATTATATGTTTTTTTTATTTTTACAGGTCTCTCAAAACGGTTTCGCTATTGTCATTACCTTGGGAAATATTTCTGCACCAGTTGCCATCAAAATCGAACACAGTTGATTCCGTCAAAAATAATCACTAAATGGGACTTCAAACAGTATCCTTATCACGTTCGTGTTTTGCTAAATTCACCTTTTTTGATATTCGCTAAGTTTAAAGGCAATGGACATCTGTCAATCAATATTAACCAATCAAAAAGTGCTGAGTTGTATCATGCTCGCTGATTGGGCAGTTGTTAATTGATTGATGGCTTAAGCCACAAGATGGCTTAGTGATTGGTGGCCAATATATTTTTAGCGCATTGTAATTTTGCCACAGGGCAGGGAATGTTTTTGTTCTTTTCTGCTACTCAACCGTTTATGTACCTTCAGTATTCTTTCGAAGTCATAATAAATTTTGATAAGAGATTCACTAATTCTGTAATTTAACAGTAAAGCTACAAGCTTCAAACAGCAAGCTTCTAAAGCTGAGTAATGATTTTCCTACGGACGATGCAGTTGTCAATATCCCGTCCGGTGTTAGACATTACAGCCTCTCATTTCTCAGTGTCGTTGCTGTGGCCTCGTTTTGGTTACTATTTTGCACTTATCAGTCCCGATTTTCAAGTAGCAAAAATTGATCTTTTGGTAAATTCAGCGTCATTTTGTGTGTTGTTTATGTATATTTAATCCTTAACTCTATAAAGATATCCTGTCTCCGATTTTGCGTCCGACTTTCTTTCAAAAGTCTGGAAGGAACCACTCTTTAATGTAGCTGGTATTGACAGCACTTTATACAAAAGGGTCAAATTGATTGACAACATCAGGGTAAGCTTCAATCATTTTCAAACATGTTTCTTCTCTGTCTCACTTTGTCTTAGATTATGATTGCTGTTTAAGAGAGTGGTCTAGTATATTCATTATCTATAAAGCACATCCGTACTAATGTGCTATCGCGTCTTCAGACGAGTATCCAGGCCAGGAAAGCCTCCAAAATGTTGGGAGAAATATGTTTTACTAAAACAAGACAAAAAGGAGTATAACGCAGTGAAAATAGCATAGAATATCGTCTTTAACTTCATGAACAAGCTTTTTTATATATTTGGTTACATCATATCATTTGTTATATATAATTATTGGTTATGGAAGTAAGTGTTTACTGGTCTGTCATGAAGTGCTTAATACTGTGTAGGCTAGAACAGGACGATTCTAAGTTGCTACTCCGAGTTTCACGCTAAAAGGCGATCATCAGGTATCGGCTAAGTTATGATAGCATTTCCTATGTACTTTTGGTTCAATATCTCAAAGATTGTGTTGTCAAAGTCTTTGTTACTTGTTCCTATAATATACTAGCTGCCAGTTAGGCTTCCGAAAGCAGAACAGAACGGTTTTAAGTTGCAACTCCCTTTAAGAGTCTCAAGCTTAATGCGATTACAAGGCCACAGTTCAGAATGCATTTACTTTCACGCACATCGTAAAAGTGCTGAAGCAATTTTTCTATCAATTACAAACATCACTTTTTCTGCAGGAATTGAGACTAAAACTACATTATGCAAATGGGTTTTTGAAAACTTGCAGACTTGGCGAAAGGTTTGTGTCTAAATTTTAAACACGTTCTTATGATTTCAATTAGAATTTCTTATGATATTGAAAGTTTGATTGCACATGAAAAAGTCTCGTTTTTCACATTCCTAATTAAACAGGGTTATTTTGAAAAAGGTAGATGCACTCAGGACCACTTAACATTGCTTAAGACCTTGGCAGGTACAAAGTTGCAGATGCGAAAGATTTATGACAGCTTCAAGCCTTCTAATCTCTTTTTTTTCTCTTTTCTTGTGTTCAAGTCCTAACGCATTTTTTTAAATTCGACTGTATATTTAAATTTTATGATACAAATTGACTTTCAGTATTATCCTGCTAACTTATTGTATTTTAGTTTACATGAAAATTTCCGAAAATTGCCAGCGCACATAGTAGACGATATTCATTTGTATTCTGTGGATGACTTTGTCCAGGTAAGGCTGATTGTTTTCTTCACTCATTCAGGGATTTGACATCAAACGTTAACACGTGTGAGCCAAAGGCTCCTGTCAAGCGATTTTCTGTCAAGTCTTAATCTACGTTATGCTCTCATGTCCCCTTTTCTCTCTTCTCTCTTTTCTCTCTCTTTTCTCCCTTTAACATCTTTCCCCACTCTCTCCCTCTTCTCCTCCTTGTTCCCCTTTTACTTCTTCCCCGCCTTGTCCCTCTTGAATGAGAGGATGACTCAGTGGTTACGGTCGCTGACTACAGATCCAAAGATCTGTGGTTGGAGCCCCTGGCATGACGAAACTTTCTTTCAGAGTGAGGGAGTCACCAACTCTCTCTAATTCCAGGCGTAGGTATCACGAGGTGTGATCACATCGAAAGCAAGTAAGTATAGCTTCTCAGTGTCACATTCGAAAGGTAGCAAAATACAAATACAAATCTTCTCTTATTTCTCTTCCACCTCCCATCTCTCCTCCTTTTATACCTTTTTCCCCTTCACATTGTTTCCCACTTCTCCTTTTGAAGTTGTTTGCAATCTCTTTTTTTCGCTGTAATCAAAATAGTGAACCTTCCTAGACAATGTCCAAACAACATTCTTAATAAAAACTTTGACCTAGATCTAGGACCACCAATTTCACATATCCCCCCGAACATTGCAAGGACAGTAGAAAACGTTTTTGAACACCTATATCAGCATATACGAGCATTGTTATGAATCTCATTCTGTCCGTCTCAATTCAACGTTTTTTTTTCAGGTGAAAAATGGCGATCTTTTAAATACGTTCAAATCGCTGATTAGCACATCATTAAAGCATATAAAAGAATGCCAGGTAAAGCGCAGTCTTCTCCGCTTTAAGTTGATTTTAAATTTTTTGTTTAATGAAGAATGCATCAGTAAAACTTAGTTTTTATATCATGCAACCTGTTGCGAAAATATCGGATGAAAGTTGTTCTTTTGCTGAAGATTTGTCATTACTATTACATTGATAAGAAAAGTTATATATTCTTCATATTGAAATATAAATTAATTTAAATATTAATATATTATTGATACGTGTTGTCCGTTCAATTGTCTTTGCGATCCTAGAGAAAAAATGATACCTCACAATGTTAAGCCTGTAAATTGTGCCTGTGTTGAACATGAAATGAATTTATTCATTCCCTGGAAAAAGTAAAAGAGTAGAGTCTTTAAGAATGTTACAAAAGAGTTACGTATGCAAGCGTGGTGGTGATTTCAAGTTGTTATTGCACCTGAAGTTGTGTTAGATTAATAGTCTGTACGTCGATAGTTTGTTTGCGGATAAAAATCCCCTCTCTAAGGCTTTAGAGTAACTGTACTGTAGGGGGATTTTTCATTCTACTTTTATGCTAAGTTTGTCGATATTTTTTGTACTCCTTGTACCTAATGCGATTTGTCTTAATCGATTTTTTGGCGGTGCAGAAATTGAAAATGATTTTGAAAAAAGCAAACATTTTATAACATATTGGTTAAAAGCTTTTTCGTTTGACACTCCTCAGAGCATAAAACGTCAAGGTTTGATGCTTAATTGATTTATTCGCGTGTTTGTCATGCACACGTTTATTCGCAAAATGCTAAACTGACTAGTACTACTGTATGAAAGACTCTAATTAGCTACTAAATGTAATTAGCTACTAAATAAATGTTGTTATTTTCGGTTAAAGGAATCAATTAGAAAATAACATAAACTTCGCCTTTTTAGCTTTGTGCCGTAAAGGGATTTGTATGCGAATATTGCCGAGACTTTGATGACATTTTATATCCATTCGAACTTAACAAAGTCACGTCTTGTCCAAGTGAGTTCTTTTTTTCTCTCTCTAACCATTTCTAGACATCTTTAGAATATTCTCTTTTGTGTTTTTATCAAACCTTAAAATTGCTTTATTCCCTTTCTTTTCTCATTTATCTAACTACATTGTGTTAAAGTTTTAAATCTGTTTCGATCCTTCCAGCCTGTGGTTTCGTGACATTTCAGATTCTTTGTAGTAGTCAAGATCTAGAAAATAACTTTGTTTCTTTTCTTTTTTTCTAAAGTTTGTAAGACCTGTTACCATAAAACATGTTTTGTGCCAGAAAAATGTCCCAAATGCGAACGGATCTGGGCAAGGTATTGATTTTTGATATGAGCAATATATCGTTTAAGTGTTTTATCGTTGATCTGATATCAAATTTTTTCCCATTAAAAAAATTACATCCAAGTGTTGTTTTCTTTTTCTGTTTTCTTTGAGTATAAAATTCTTATGTTCCTTTTTTATTTATAGCATTCTCAATACGTTATGTTTTCGTCTCGTAATTTTTAATTCGGCTAGTTTTGTCTTGTGTCATTTCTTGTTGTAATAAATCTTTGTTTTTGTCATATTCTACTGCTATCTATTGTAATATATTTCAAAATATTGTTCTGTTTTATGTTGGCATTTATCATTTTGTTACATATTATATTGTATGGTACTATACTGACCTTTCTGTTATGATTTGTCGAGTGTTTTATTTAAATAGTTAGTTTTGTTATTGACTTCATATGTTCTTTTTAATTCTATGTGAGATGCTTGATAATGTCATTCGATGAGAGTTACACAAGCCTTATTTATGACTACACTGATTTTCATTTCCATTTCCTCTACAGGCAGCGATTACTCGACACGAAACCGACCGAACATCTATGATAATTTTTACTAAGTTAATGAAACGATTTGTAATCTGTTCTCAAGTAACAATTTTTGCCAGTTATTGCTTTTAGCGGTTTCGACGAAATGTGCCATTTTGTGTCGCCAGTAAAACATCTTATAACCTAGCAATAAGTGAAAATAGAAAGTTGGATCGAGGAGCTCACCGTTATGACAAAGCGGACTTCAAGATTTCTCATTTATAATGATTTTCTTAATAGTTTTCCAATGCCTGGGGTTGCCTCTTATAGGATGATGTTGGGGGGGGGCCTCCACTCAATGGTGCCTTCAGCTTTATTTTATATTGACTGCCGTTTTTCCAGATAATATTCTTAATCCGTGTTATCTTGTGTTCAATTGCTGAAATGGCTGATCAAATCGTTTCTTTAACTACACCATATTTATCTAGCCTCGTTGTTACTTGAAGAATTAAGGAGCAATAGCAAAGAGGAATCTTCAAACGACAGAGATGATCTAAAAGCATTTGAGAATTCAAAATTTTGATCATTTATACAAAAAAAATGTTTCACTGGCGACAAAATGTATATGATATATAATCGATGCGGTTAACTTAAATTAAATCGTTTTGAATTGTAAATCGAAAATGGCAAAGGGGAGGTGCCGATTGCTGTAGGTGAATTTGTTTTCCTGAATAGGATATTTTTTTTCTTTATCGAGATAGGGGTAGTCCCCGAATAGCATGTGATGCTTTGGGAACGGAAAGGGACTGGGTCTAATTCGCTGGCTAGTTAGTCGTTATGATTCTGTACCTTTGGCTGCAACGTTGTGCACAGGACGCTGACGAGATCTGCTGAGCACCTTTCATGGTTCAAGGGTCCAGCAGGGGTGTAGTGCTTTGGAGAACAGTAACTACTTTGGGGGAGAATCTTGTAATTTTTCAGGCACAGCTCAAAGCACAATTAGGCTGAGATATGGGACAAGGTCACTTTTAGATGGGATCAAACACTTTTAGTTATCCATTGAACACAAAGAACGCCTTACCTCGCATTTTCAAAGCCATCTTGGAGTAAAGATTTGGGTCGGTTGAGAAATTCCCCTGATTTATGGTGGTTAAAAAAGTTGAAGTGGACCAAGGGGCCCAGTATTGTGAAATATGCCCAGTGACCAGTATGAGGAAACCAGGTTTCTCTATTAACTGCCTTTATTATGTACATAAAACTATGAATTAATATAATTGATTAATGTGTGAATACGTTTTTATAAGTTTTGTTCTTGTTGTTGGTGTAAAATTTTTAGAATTTGTAAATCAATTCCAGTGTAAGCGGTAGCATTCCAGGTTTCAAAATCGAAAGAAAGTTCTGATTGTCGTCTTTACTTTCCACGCTCTTTTTCCGTTTGTTGATATATTTTTATAGATAATGATAATAATCAATGGTAGAAAGCAAAGCTATTTTTAGATGATATTCTTTTGGCGTTAGCACTAATTTTCATGTCAATTTGCCATTGTTCTTAGTAGCAATTGAGTTTCCAAAGTTCTTACGTCACAAAAATCTATTTTCAGAATTTCTAATCTTTTACCGATTATCCGAAAGAGCATCATAAAATGCCTCTAAATCTGCAAAATTAGTTAAATGTGTTATCAGGGCCTCGGAGAGGATTTATGGGCCTCGGGTCAGGACGAAAGAGGAATAGTAAAGCATGCCTTAGGCAGACGCTTCAAGGGGTAGGGGTCAGGGGAATGCTCCTCAGGAATTTTTGAAATGATGGTTGCTAAAATTGCTATGGTGGCTATTTTGGTTGCTAAAATTGCTATGGTGGCTAAACTTTTGCAGTGGCATAGATAAAAGGGGGGCCAGAGTGGGCAAACTCTCCCCCTGTAGAGCTAAACTGCTATTTTGTCGGAAAACTTCTGATCTTATCAGGAATTTAACACGGTTGTCTATGTTTTTCTAATTGCTATGTTTAGATGTGAAAGAATTAAAAGCTAAATAAACATAAGAATATCTGAAAATATCAAAAGATTTTTTTTCAGTTCTAATGTCGTTGTGTTATGTTAAATTTCTGAAATAAATATAAATGCTTTTTAGATTTTTGTCGGAAAATAAAAGTTTCTCACCCCTCCTATGAATTTTCCTATCTATGCCATTGTCTGCTGGCTATTACTTCTGTTTGCTATTTGATATAATTTGAGCATAACTTATATCTTAACACCATAATGCATAAAAATGAAAATTTCTTAGAAAATGGAAAAGTCCTAGAAAATGGAAAACGTTTAATTCCTCAGCTAAATTCGATCACAACTGATACTCTTACAAATAGATGGGCAAGCCATCAATAGTGTAAATCTGTATAACATACATATTGCTGTATCTTGCACTATTCCAATCACATTTTTGGTAGCATTTAGAAGCTTTTCAACTTCTTTAGCCCAAGCCCACAAGATGAGAAATTATTAACAAAAATACAGGTAATGAAAGACTCAAACTTTATTCATAGACTTTTGCATTATGGTCTCTATTAATGACAGTTTGTTGTAATGGAAAGGCTGTTTTATTATTTTTGGGCCCCTATAGCCAAGAGCCCCTGGGCCAGTGACCCCCCTGATCCCCCTCTCCTCAGCACCGTGTGTTATGAGATATTGCTGAGATATGACCACATGAGAACAGGCTCTTTCCCCAGCAATCCTCTGGAGTTTGATCTCTGTTCATAACAAAGTGACCTAAGCTAAAATAACAGTACATCCGTAGATTTGCAAAAGTAGCCTAAAAGATTATTGCTCAGGAATCACCCTTTGTGTCAACAAACCCTGAACAACGTGTGTTACACAAATGTATGCAGTAGATTAAAAACATTGGGACTTGCAGAATGTTATGACTCTATTTTTCATTCTACGAAATTTCTCCAGCACTCATCTACACAATTCCAAGACTAAATTTTTTCTAAATATACACCAAGAGATATTAGATCATTTCTACAATTCTGAATTCATGTAAGCACGCTCAAAGTTCGAAGTATTCTCATACTCAATGTGATTTCTAATTTAGGTTAAGCGTCAATCAACATCATGGTAGGCCAAAACATCAAATGCAAGAAGCCAAGTTTAATTATAAGCCACGGTTCTGTGAATCATTCTTCGTGAACTGCCTCATCTGCAAAACATTCATATAAGCGTTGCTTAGATATCTTGGAATCAACGAATGACAGCATCTAACTTTTCAACCATTCACCAATTGTGGCTTCGATCTTGGCTCTCGCTTCTTTTAGCTGCGGTAGGTCGTCATTTGAGTCTGGGTACATATTGGCACAGTGAGCCGTTCCTGCAATTAACCATCCATCAAATCAAATATGTGCTTAAATGCTTCCAGCTTGTGAAAACTTTAGAAGATATAATATTTAAGAAGTAAGAAACGCACGAAAAGCTGTCCGCCGGAATCTGGTAATTGTTCAGATATCATCAGACAACTAGAAGATCTAATTTCCATTCACACGCAAATTGCTTAGTGTTTTATCTAACCATACATAGTAACCCTAGCTTTCTTCCTCGCTTTTTTAGGACACAAAAGTCACTCTTTGCGATATCTGGCAGCAGAATTGAAAACATTAGCCGTGCTTTATTCATTCAATTTATACGAGAGCCAGCTCTAGTGTGCAAGAAATGCCGTTATCCAAGAATTAGTGCAAGATTTGTTCAGAAGGGTATTATCTCATTTGATTAAAAGCATCTGATTGTTATTTCAAAGATTCAAAGCCTAAGACAAAACTTTGCGGTTCCTGAAAAATATGTCTCATGTTAGACACAAGCATTTCTAATTCATTAACATTGCAGGACATCTTGCATCATCGGCACAACATTTTAGAGGAATACTGTGGAGGACTAAATTGTTGAGATAAAATGCAGTTTTTACAATTTTCTACTTTTCATAGTCCCTGTACATGAACATCGATGCGAGGGACATCGATGCAAGCACCGATAACGAAGAGACAAAGGAATCTTGAACATCCTGTTGTCACGTCCGCTGGTCCAGACTTAGACCCAAAGATGGAGCCTTACATGACGACAATAAGCATCTTCTTTGAAGCGAGGGAATTACAGTGGTTGAATAAGAATAACTCGAATGCATGCTCACCTTGGATGTAGATACTGTTGATGTATGATGGGGTGTTGGTTGTGAAGCTAAGCGCATGCCATGGATCAATGGCACCATTCACAAAGAGCACCTGTGAAGACAGACCAAAATGTCTTTCACAGAAACTAGCATATTGCTTTAGGATTGTGTCAGCATGAAATCAGCAGATAGAAGTACGTGTATGTTTTATGTGATTTTGATTATTGAAAAGACTATTAACATTATTCCATATAACGGATAATTGTGTGGTAATAAAATAGCCAATAGACTTAATATTTTATTGCACATTGAACTGAACAATTTAAAAGCATTTCCAGTCCTGTTCATTGTTTTTGAGTATAAGATGACTAAACGACGGAACAAACACTTCGCCAAAATTTCGACGAAATTTTGTTCAAAATTCGAAACGCCATTGCCTACAAACTCTTAGAGGTAACGACTGTTGTTCCTGGCTGATGCAAAGTTAGCAAATCATTACTGTTGAAATACCTTTGATCCAGAGTATCTAAATCCACCATAATTTGTATTTGTAAAGTCGATTCCTGCATCAATATTTGTGGCATTGAACTTTGATCCAAAAATATCTTTACATTGTTGAATAGAGAAGCTAAAATTAAAAATGAAATTATCAACAGGCTTTTTATTTTTTGAAGACAAAAACTATAAAACCCTGTGCACTAGTCGTGGTACTTTGTTCCTACACAGAATTAAAAACACACAATCATTCCTATTCATTTTCTCATAAAAAGACAAAATATTGACTTCACACAAAATGCCTTTATAACAACTTCAACTTGAGGCTTTATTAGCGGTTGCATCACCTTGGTGAATTGGTTCATAGATGAGAGAGGCAGTGATCTTTTTTCAGAGGTTCAAAGGTTCAAGCGATGTTGAATATTTAATTACAATGACAATGCTATCTGTTTGGCTATCAACTGATATATACATCCTAAAATACAGTACATGTAAACCTTGATTGGCCCTTGATGTATTGTGAGTTTTCAAAAAATTCTTGGCACAAAAATAAAAATGTCACCTACCTCAAAGGACCTAAGCCCCCAAACGGCTGCATGGTAGAGTCTGTTGTTTGATAAAAACCAAATTCAGTGCAAGTTTGGTATAGCCACTGACGCCCTGTAAAATGAAAAGTTGAACAACCATAGAAAGAAAATTTTCAAAGGCTTTCTAATCTTCAAGAAAGATTTGTGACAAAAAAGATTGAAATGAAATTATTGAAAGCAATGAATCTCAATAGGCAGATAACAGGAGCATTTATCAGGAATGTTTCAATAATTTTTTTTACAAGAAGTGCTAGTACAATCTACTGTTTTCTTAGAATTATTTGTAAATTGCAGAATGGTACATCTCCGACCAGTTGATGATCACTGAAAGTAAAATTTACCAACAAAGATGTAGGTGCAAACAATTTTATTTCTGTATAACCTTATAATACATAAGTTTACCAAGCAACTGAAAATTTTACCAAGAAAAACTGGGGAGCGCCTATGAGGTGCATTCAAGTTGCATACATGAAATGCTTGCAGTCCTTGCACAAACAGCTTGTTGGAGGCCTAGGGGTCTTTACAGTACCTGCACAACAGTGGCTGCTGGCACAAAAGTAAGATGGTAATAGTAAGGCAAAAAAAATTTTTAGCAGAGCCAAACAGCTAGAGATTGGGTGGCACAGGGGCGTGGTCCTTGGAAAATTTTTGTTTTCATAGCTAGTATGGCCAAATTGTCTTTCAATGCTGGGTCAGCAGTTATCATATAATACCTTGGTTTGTCTAATGTCATATGATATTGCCAGCTAAAGAGGTTAAATGGTCTCGCAGCATTTTATCACTAGAGAGAGGAATCTAGTACTGCGATCGGTTTTATGTCACATTGAGTCATAAATTACAATGGGACAGACTTCTGCAGTACTGGATGAATGAGGTCTATCTTCTGGGAACCTCATAAAAACAAAAGATGAAAAATTGGCTTCCATTTAAAATGTCAATTTTACTGTTCCTTGTATCACTTGCTGCCTCTTTAGAAAATTAGATACTTGCCTCCCTCACTTGCTGTTGAGGTCCAGGAAATCTGCCTCAATGATTGTATCATATCTTTGTATGAGGCATCCAAACATTTAGTTTCATAAACAGCCAACATCAATTCATTGACTCTAGCATATCTCAACAATGGATTGCCAATACTTTCATCATTCATTATCTTGCAAAGGGTTTCAATTGTGATATTTGTCCCTCTTGCTCCCTAGGAAAGCATTTGAAACTTCAAAACTAGATAGCTTTGAAGCTACAGCTGTAAACAAATGTCTTAAGTCCCAGGAAACTGGTCCAGCTAACAACTCGAGTCATGATGTGGGGGAATCCCTGAGCTACAATCTTTAATAAAAATGCATTTCAAAATACTGATATATTGCATTGAGTTATTTAATCTGATTCCTTTACCACTATTTTAAGTGCTGTTTATTTGCCAAAAAAATATTTTACAAGACTGGTAAGACCCATGTCTTGTTGCATTATTTTTTCAAACACATAATATATTGTTTCCTTACTTAATTTGTTCAAAGCTAATTGTTATAAACAAAATGAATTCTCACCAACCTCAAATGCTCGGTTATCTTTGTTATATTGGACAACTCCGGCAAAATTGTCAGCCAATGATGAAGCAAAATTCATGATGTCAAAGTTATCATCAGTTGCAGGTTTACAAAGTCTTGAATAGAAAAGCATTGATCGATGACAGCTAAGCATGGTAACATATGGAACTCGGCTCCACTTCAATCAGTTTTAGGAAAGGCGAGGAGCTAACACGCAGAAGCAAATGAAACCACAATAATCTTGTTGCGATGTAATATAAGCTTTTTGTTATTTCAAAATAAAGCAACTGCAAGCTTCCCTTCTCATTAAGGTCCTCCAAAATGCAGAGTCTCACAAAAGATTTCTAACATGAAGAATATTCATTACATATCAAATGGTAAACAGGCCTGTACAGTAGCTGACTGTATGAAAATTTGATTTTTGAGCTTAAAACTTGCACTTAATATCTACTTAATGATTTAACTATACATGCATAAAAAAATTCTATAACATTTTAGAAAAAAAAACAACAATTTTAATGCCTTACTTGAAAATTTGTGTTAAATTGGCCAATCCTTCACTAGTTTTGGACATTGTTTCAAACATCTTGGTTGCAGAGGCTATGTTTTCATTGCAAGTTGGACCAGTTGTAGCAAGAGAATTCGCAACCACTTCATAGTACTCTGGGAAATCTAAAACAGCCTGAATTGGGGCACTTGTAGCAACAGCACCTGCAAAGAAATTTTTACTACATTGCTCTCTCTGTGTAAAGAAATCTCTAAGCTGCCTGAATTTTAAATCTTTATTGACATAAAAGAATTAAATAATTAAATAATTTCATAGTGACCTGGTGATTCTACCAGCTACTTTTTCCACAACAGTCACGATACTGCAACTGTAAGCTCATCTCATGATAAAGATCATTTCAACTGTAAGCTTGATTTTAAACTGCATGGACCATGTTAAATTCCAAGTCTCATTCACATAGTTTACAAATGTCTGAAAACAATTTCAATAGTTTTCAACAGGGTCTCATGAAATGTCAAATAAAATGATTAGAATTTCCCTTTGGTTTATCAATTAAAAAAATGAGCATGATATCAGTAATCACAAGACTAATATATTGTGTTGATTCATAGTTGCTTTCTACATTGAATTTGATATTGTAAAGCTCTCTTGTAATGCAGTTGTTTTTATGATATTTTTTTATATGCAGAAAACACAGAGCCAGAAAACATAGATTTGTTGCATAATTGATGTGTTGCATAGTTATGCTTATCGAGCAGTGTCCTGGTCCTTCCTCTCGGTGTGACCACACGTTGTGATTCCTATGCCTGGAATTACAGAGGGTTAGTGACTCATCTCATTCTAGGTGAAAGTTTGGTCATGCCAGGGACTCAACCACGGGCCCTTGGGTCTGTAGTCAGTGCCTCTAACAGCTGAGCCATCCTCGCACCAGAGACAATGAGTGTGTTATTGATTGCATTACAGTTGATTCAACATGACAGATATACATTGAAGGAGATGATTATGTTTTTAAATTAGTCAATACATAACCACAGTACAAATTGATGCAAAAGATCACCTGAAACGAGATGTGGATACTTCAAACGATACCATGCTGAGAGTGCACCTGGATATGATCCTCCAAATGATATCCATTTATTCGCAATTAATTCAAACTTTACTTGCATGGCTTGCTGAAAAGCAGCCAAGTCTGCAAGAGCTTGCTCACTGCTTAAATGTTGAAGGCTGTTGTCACTCATATCACTGTCAAAAATAATCACAAATGGTATCATTCAATCAAAAGTTCAAAATGCAAAATAATCCAAAATACTCCAAAGAAAATTTCAATAGGATACAGTCTTTTTGCACCATCTTGCCCAATATAAAGACACTTTTTGTTTTAAATGCATTGTTTTTTTGGAAAAGTAGAGGTAAGTATAGAAATTAAGAAAGATAGGGTAAATTGTCTTAAGAAAAATACAGGTGAAAGATGGGAAGACTAATTGTTTAAGATGAAACCTGCAAAATATGGTTTATAAAGCAAAGATGCAAATGGAACTAAAGACATACCCCAATGGATGACTCTTGCCATAAAACCTATGCTCCAGTAGGAAGCAAAGAGCCCCATACTTTTGAGCATATTCCATCATACTACCAACAACAACCCAAATTGGATTCGCTGTGCCTTCACCGCCAATCATAAAGAAAACCGGCCCATCAGCCTTTCTGTTGAACATAGTGTCATTGTAAAAGTATCTTTGTTTCCATGTTCTCAGATCAGCATTATTGAAATGGTCCAAACGTTGCTCAAACCAGTTTTCTTCAGGTAATGCTGTGTCTTCATAAGATTTTTCAGGGACGTTAGGGGAACCTAAAAATCCTCCAACTGGCCTTCCGTTGATGAATTTGGGTATGTACGCATCACATTTGAGTATTTGAAGGGCAACACTTAATACAAATGTTGTGAGAAATATCATCTTTTCCAGTGTTATGTAAAAACCCAGTTTCCCTTCTTCAACTCTTTTAGGTCATTGCTTTGTTTCCGGAATAATTTGGAACCTCGTTCTAGCATAACATCTCAAAGAGAGGCTGATCGGTTCAATTCAATCACAGAACAATCTTGGTCCCCAGGACAGGAGCAAAACCGAAAACCAGAAGGGGCAAGTAAATAAAGATGGTGAAGAAATTTTTAATCGAATCAGACGCTTTCATGGTCTGTATGACTCATGCATTATCAACAGAGCAAGAAGAAGTGATGGGTCTACTTATTGGAGAGGTAGGTTGCTTTGATTCCCCCTACTGCCCTATTTCCCCTCATTTTCTGGAAGTAGCAATTAATGTTTTAGACTCTTTTCATTCAATATATCATGAAATAATACAATTCTACATCTCACTGTTTTTTGCAACTCGTGACAAAATGAAACTTAGACAGTTAGATTAGGTTCAGGTTCATTATATTTTAAATTCCACAGCAAAACATACATTTATTCCACAAAATACTAAATAAAGATACAACAACATCAAATATCAAACAATCGCTATAACAATAAGATATGGAACACAAATTATCGGTGGGATGTGCATGTATGGGGAATTATTTGAAAGAGGTGCGCTCTCTGTAGCAAAGCTAATCGAGAAGAGAGGCCCCCCTATACATTCCAGTGTGGAATCCATGTAGCTTACGCCAGAGATATCCAGCGTAGACTAACGATTTCCCATTGTCTTTCTATTGTTTATTTGGCGTGAGATTCACATGGATTCCACCCTGGTATACATTAAGATATTTCAGCACTTCAAAGATATCAAAATAAATAGTATCCAAAATGAAATTATTATACTAATAGTAATAATAGTATAATAATAATAATACCAAAAAGATTAAACATAGGCCTACAATTAAAGTGTGTTCGAAGTCCATTAAATTGGGTTCAGTTCCCCTGGAGGGAGGGGTAACTTCAAACGGTTAAGGACGGGAGTATGCCATTTTGATATACAAAAAATTCCCTAAAATTTATAAATTTTCCAAAAAATCGTACCCCAAAACTTAGATAAATGATATGAAATGTATACCCTTAAATTTGATTCAAATTTGCAAAAATCCAACAACTCAAATCAGATTATTTCTTCATGAAAACTGGTACCCCAAAAAACGGCACATCCTGTACCAGTGTATACTGAAGTTACCCCTCAGGGGGGTTCAGTCCAAGGTTTGTTTCTTTTAAAGAGTAAATAATAATTAATGTTTATTGCAATGCTCATAACTGTTGATAGAAGTTGGGGCTAGAGAGCTCTGTTAGAATTTAGGTTCTTTAACATAGGGAATGAATCAGATAAAGAAGCAAGAATGTCAATTGCTCCCATTGAGACATTGTCTAGGTGAACTTTGCCACATTTAGATGGCAGGTAGTGGACAAGAGACTTATACAGTTGCTGCTGACTTTGAAGTTGCTCTCAATTCCAAAAGTTCACTCATGAAGGTAGAGAATGCTAAAAACAATATAGAAAATATCAGGTTTCAATGAATCTCCTGTAATTAACATGGATGAAGTAAAAATGGGCAGAACAGTGTAGAGAAAACATGTGGTGAAGATGAATAATGGTACACAATTGAACAGCGCTAAAACCCTGTGACTTTAATATTCTTTCTTCATATCCATTTTTGACAGCCTTGAGGGTTGTAAGGACCCCTTTAGTGTATCTATGTTGCATCAAATGTCAGGATGGTGGCTGGTTTTTTGCCATAGAAAAGCTATTGATGTAGAAGAGGATTCAAATATATTTCTTACAGTAGTTTGGCAATGAGTGAGTTGTCTCAAAGGAAGGAAGAGATGCCATATTTGATTTGGGTAGTATAAGATAGCTTTTTATGGCACTGATTGGTAACTGGGGCCAGCTAAAATTGGTAACTCGTGGTTGTAATGGCCAGCTAAACCCATTTATCACAACGTTGGAACTTCAGAAGAGGAATTAGCTTCTTTATTTTCAGTATGCTATTTTTCTATAAATAATTCTATAAGTAATCTAAAACAAGAAGAGGTTGATAGTGGGAACAATGCACAATATTGCGAAGGTCCATATTTTAGGGATGTCTGCGCAATAATATGGTTAACATTATCAGAATGTATTTGTAGTTTTATTTGTTTTAAATGTTAGAAGATAACGTTATCGACCTCGTTTAGAAGATTACGAGCTTAGTCCACTTTACACCCCCCTCCCCCCCCCTCTCCCAAAGAAAAGCATGAATTTCCGCCACTGCATTTGAATAACATAAAGTTGATTTGCGGTATAGCTTGGGCTGTGAATTAGGTGGCGTTGCAAATGATAATTTTTGATAGAGAGGAAATACATGCTATAACACGCCAAAGAGAAAAGTTGACTTTCTGAAAGCTCTGGCAAACCTTGCTTGATGTTATCTCAAATTTGATAACTACGAAGTCAAGGCAATCAAAACATATTGTTTCTTCCCAAAACATTACTTCTTCTATTGATTAAATAGAAAAGCCTTACTTTACGCTTATATTGCTTTTCGTGGATAAGGCACTGCTGCTTCTGATTTTAGACATACTTGTTTGGACGCCAAGGAACCTTTGCCCACTGGTTTCAGAGGAAGAAGCCTGGTTTCTTTCATTATCTTTCCTCTCCCTTGCTTCTTGTTCGGACTTATCAACTAGCAACCGGATGAGTTCAACGAATCCTTCACATTCCAGTTTGTTTCCATCTAGATAAAGCTCGCTGATCAAAGAAAGAATTAGAGAAAATTATAAGTGTGAAAAGCTTCCAATAGAGATAAAATTGCCAGCAATGAAAATGTGCTTCAACCCTATTTACATTTCAATTAATAGGAGAAGAGGTAAAGTCAAGATTACAGGTTTGAAGATGAAAGGGGCGACCAGTTGACAATAAAAACACTTCAACAACGTCAAGGTTTACTCGGATCTCTCATTAAATATATTTACTTAGTTTTTGCTGTACAGATAGCTTTAAAACATTTTTTTGGTGATGCAAAAATTTATAAATTTCTATGAAAAAGCAAACATTGTGAAACATGCTACTAAAGCTTTCTGTTTGTAACCTTTCAGAGCATAAAACGTCAGAACATATATCGAACACTCTAGGCTAGGAAATATAAATACCCAATTGTGAACCAAAATAGGCCAATCAAAAACGCGACTGTTGAGGTTGCCCAATCAGTGCCGCTTGCCTATTGTAAATGTTACCAATGGAATCCTAAGGTGAAAACGAACTCCTTATGTCTACAAAAAGGCGATTTTTTTACTTTTATGCATATTATAGATTCTAAAACTTTCCATCTAGCAGTTTTCAACATTTGTCTATGCGGGTGCTGTTTTAATTAGCTGTTACACCCAGGGACGAAAATAAGTTGCTAATTTTGGAGGGGCGTGGAAGGATGAAAATTCCAACTTTAAGTGAGAAATTTTTGATGCGACCAGTAAATCTACTGTACCCACCAAATTGATATTTGTAAATAGCCCGAACACCATATTTCTATTTTCTTTATAACTACCAAAACCTTACTCAACAAATAGCCTAAAGCATAAAAGCCTAAATCTCTAAATTTTGATTACCATGAAACAAAAATTTAAACTTGCTGTAAGAAGTAAAGCAACATTCAAGCAAAACCAGTATTAGATATACTTAATGATTAGTAGTATTCTTTCAGATCAATTGATCAATTTTATCTAAATTGATCAATTGATCAATTGATGCAGATCTATGTATCTAAAATACATTTTTTTCACGATATAGAAGCACCCAGAATTCGAGCCTTTTATTTTTGTTCTTGATCGAAGAAAACTAATAACACTTTTCAGAGGACCAAATGCCTTTTCGTTCTTTACAATTGAAATGATGATTTGAGAGCAAACTTGTGCATATGCCTGATTCGAAAGATGAAACACTCTTCTTTGATCAAATACTTTTACTGCAATTTTGCAATGTGTTCTTGCTTCACAGCAGTTTTGTCATAGGAATTTATGATAATGGGGCAAGGACGTTAACAAATAACAGGGGGAGTTTAGCATAAACTCCTTTTTTATAAGAAGCGTTAAGAATTTTTAGTACTGAAAGTTTCTTAATCTTTTTTTGAAATAACTACTCGTAGTTTCTTAAAAAACTCCCACTCTAAAATTTTCTGATCAATGCGGGTATTATTATTCCAAACTGTAAAGTTTCAAGTTTCTTATCCAGAAATTCACCTTGCCTGTTCGTAATTTGATTCAACTCCCGTCAGAAAGAAAGCAAATGGGGCAATTGCGCAATTTGGATCCAGTGGAGACGGGATTCACAATAGAAAACGATTAATGGATGAGTCAGATTCAGCCTGTGAATTTTGATGTTTAGAATTTTTACATTTGAAATAAAAAAACTTCTTAAAATATAAAATTCATAAGTTTGGACTTAAGAAAAAAATTCCAAGTCAACCGTTAAGTTTTCCAACTGTAACTGGATTTTCCAAACTTTGAGGGGGGGCGTTACGCCCCCCACGCCCCCTATTATTTACGTGCCTGTCTGTTATATTTGGTGACAATACTATCAAGATTATTGCTAAGATCTGCAATGGTGAGACTCGCAAAGATTGCAAAGAAATTTTAGTCAGAATGAGACAATGATACAACAGGACGTTTTGTTTAGAATGACAGTGCAGACTTTGAATTCTGCTCATCTATTTGTTGATTGTGTTCAAAAGTCTGGACACATATTGATGTTTTCATTATGTCTTAATGCTTTCACTGCAGCAGAAAATTCTAGTATAACTTCTAGGAACAGCTTAATTTTCAAAATGGGTTTGATTGGCAGCTTGACTGTTCAAGCAAAATGAAATTTTCAAATCATTATGATTCAAACATGCAGATTCCCATTCCATGATCCATTTTTGGCTAATATAAAGACAAAAACTGACACCCTTAATGGGATCTTAAAATAGCATAATTCTTGTCAAGTGACTAACTAACAGGCAGCTAACACATCATTCTACATGCCACCTCTCTCTACTCTGTGACACCACAGCTGTACATGTACATGAATATTTTGACATTCCAGCTCTTCCAGGGAATCAATTAGCACAAGTGGGACATTTTGCACCCCTAGATTTATTTTTTTACCCAAATAATATGTCCTGTAGCTGATTATGCCATGTCATTAATCATGTCTTTCGAAAAGTGTAAAGCATAGACTCTAGAAAACATCCAGCAACTATGTGTGAAAATTGCTCTCTTATGCACTAGTTTTGCTGTCAGAAGAGGTAGCATCAATGTCAGATTCACCATGTTCAAACGTCTTGTGCAATATTTCAGTGCTCTTTTATTGACTTATGTTACTTATGGTGATTCTTCTTGAAAAAGGTTTGATGTTCTTGAATTGGTGCCCTTTGTCTGTTCTGTGGGTGGGCTTTCTATGAGTTGTTTGTTCGCCCCGGTGGTTAAAATAACTTGAGGAGGGTTGATAAGGGCAGATGAGCTGGTGAGTTGAGTCTCATCATCATGGTTCGCTGTCTCCGCCTATGGCAGATTGCGCAGTAACATGAGAGAGTGTTTTCCAACGGTCACGATCTTTGCTAGTAACATTCAACCCGGCGAGGTCAAGTTGTGATCAAGTTAAGATGTTATCGCGCCACCGTTTCTTTGGTGTTCCTTTGTTTCTTTGTTTCTTTTTCCTTCAACAGCGCCTTCCAGGCAGAGTTTCGAAAGGTGCGTTTGATGTGTCCAAATAATTTCAATACTTTGATATTAATGGTTGATATGATAGGGTAAGATTGGTGGTTTTCAGCAGGTCTTCAATTTTGATATAGTCGATTAGTCTATGATTAATTATAAATCTCATGATGTGATTCTGGAATGTTTCCATCGTTTGCTGGAACTTCTTAGTCCAAATAACACATTCCACTCCATAAAGAACTACTGGAAGAATATATGTATTGAAAATTTTTGTTTTTATATGATAAGGGACTCTGGTAGATGTTAGAAGCAGTTTGTTCTTCTCAAAAGCGACCCATCCGAGACCGATTCTATGTTTAACAGCTACTGTTCCATCATTTGTGGCAGATAATTTATGGCCAAGATAAACAAATTCATTTACTTGTTTTGTTTGCTTTCCATTAATGGTGAAATGCAAGGTATCATTTTTAGCAGTTGTCATATATTCTGTCTTTGAAACATTTATGTAGAGCCCGACTTCAGAGGAGTATTTTACTTAACAATCAGGAAAGGTTTGAAGTTCTCGTTGTGATCTATTAATGGCTGCTATGTCATCAGCATATGTGAGATTAGAGAGGAGTTGACCACCAATAGAGAATTTATACTCAGATTCCGCTTCCAGAATGATTGTAGCAATGACGATACAGAACAAGAGAGCTGACAGGACATCTCCTTGCTTAACGCCTTTCAGGATCTAGAAATACCAATATCAGTTTTAACAGATGCAGTGGAGTTGTCGTATGTTGATTTAAAGAGTCTATGTTGGTTTTCGTATCTTCTGTTTATGTTAGTTTTCACAAGAAGTTTCCGTAGGCAATCGAGCTTAATGCTATCAAATGCTTTTGTGAAATTAATAAAAGCAATGTCTACGGGGTTGTTGAATTCGATGGACTTTTCGATGATTTGTTCCAATGCAATAACTTGTTCAATGGTATCTCTTCCTGGTTGGTTAGCTGCTTGAGAGTCATGGAACGAAGCATAGAGATCATTTTTAACTCTAGATGCAATGATGCTAATAAAGACTTTGTAGATATGACTCAATAGGCTAATTGGGCGGTAGTTACCACAATCTAGTCTGCTATTCTTCTTGTAAAGCACGACAATAAAGGCTTCTTTGAATTTTTGTGGTACAGTGCCAGGTACTTGAATCTGTTAGAATAGATGGAGTAGAGCTTTTATGGGTGGTTCTCCTCCTGCCTTTAAGTATTCGGAGTATTTGTTGTCTAATCCTGGGCTTTTACCGATCTTCAATTTTTGTATGGCATTCTCAACTTCACTTCTTAGAATATGTGGTATGGAATCCCCATGAGTGTCATCAATGTTAAAAGAAAGGATATCATCTTTGCATAAGTCATAGAATTCTACCCTGCGTTCCAGAAGGCTTTTTTTATCAGTTAGGATGTCTCCATTCTTAGCCTTAATTCCCCAACTGATTTCTTTCAGCTTGCTTTTAAGTCGCTTAATTGCAGCATAGTATTGCTTGTGTGGTGGGAGGTTGCAGATGGAGTCAATGTCTTTTTCGATTTGCTTTAGCCTATCTTTTTTGACCAGCGTTTTAGGTTCAGCTTTTGCAATTTTGTACTCTGGTGACTTAGCACCTTTTTGTTCTCTGATTTTATGTTTTGAGCTGATAATTTTATGTTTTCTTTGTTTCTGCAGACATCCAGTTACACTGAGGAAATATCTGAAGTGGCGAGACTTCTTTAACTTTTTCAAGAATACCAGTAGTTATTTCTTCAAATACATCACTTTGGTCTGAGATTTCATCAAGAGTGAAAAAGCGATTACTCAGTTTCAGTTGAAACGGTTGTTTTGCATCTGCGAGTAATGGTTCTAGGTTGTACTTTCGTGCAGAGCCAGAAAAACATTACGGTCAGACGGTCACTGACCGGAGGAAGGTCCACGAAGAACAATAAAAGCTCCAATGACACACCCAAGCCACGCCCACTTTCTATTGTTTTGTGAGGTAGGTTTGCCTTCTGGGATGTTTTTTTCTGGAGGAAGGTTAACAACTTTTCAGGACTCTGCTTTCGTGTTACTCCGATCTTCTTTGGCCAAGAGAAGCTTAGTCTGATTTTTGTCCTTACCATTCTATGGTCTGATATATCAGGTGAGACGGTTTTCGAGCTAGAATGAACTCAATTTGGTTCTTTGATTTGCCATCTGGTGACGTCCATGTGTAATATTTGATATATTTATTTGATATATATAAGAGATATTTTTATTTTTTGGCGTAGAAGAGATATTTTTTGGTTGATTTGAGGATGTTGTTTCTGAAGATTAAATTTGTAGTTAGGGTTTTGTGCTGCAAAGAGAATAAAACTGTGATTTCAACAGGTCTCTTAAAAGAAAAGACAAATCAAGGTGAGCATTACCTAAATGTGCAACACATGCATAAATTTTTTTTGTGCTCTTGAATACAATCAAGAACTTATCCTGGTGTGTTTCAAGGTGAAGAAAGATCGTTTTGACCTTGATAACCCCTGTTAAGCCGTTAGCAAGCAAACTCTGGGCTTTGAGCCATTTGATGTGCTCTTTTTGTTTGTTGGAGCCCAAATATTGACGTTTATCGTTGGCACCTTAGTTCTGGCTAGTTCTCGAGGCATTGAAAAGCCGTTTCAGTTTAGCGAGCTCTGAACTTACGTGGCAATATCAAACAGCGTTTTGTTTTAACTTTCGTTGTTTGCCTGTTGTATCTATTTTGCAATCACTTACTTAAAATAAAGGAGTGAAAAAAGATTCTCCTCTGCAATGCTTTGATTTATTTAACCTGAAGGATCTCTAAATGTGTGAAACCAGTTGAATGTGCTCGAAACTGGCTGAGATATAGCAACTTGAGCACAGACTCTGCCCTCGTCAAATCACTGCAATTCTGTCACTGCGCTCAATTTGATGAACCATGTCAAAATTGCAGAAATCTTTAGCAAACTTTGAATTCTTTATAGGCCATATCTCGCCCAATTTGTAAAATATTAAACTAATATTGCATGTTTAGAGGTAATTTGTGGTGTTATATTAGGTAATGTTGTACAAAATTACTAAAAACATATTATTATAACTTCATACTTAAAAGCTCTATTGTCAAAAGTTTCAAAGCTAAACTAGGGAACAGTTTCGAAACTAAACGAAAGAAAAATAACTTAATTTAAGATCATGTGTTTAAGGCAGTGCCAAGAACAAGTTTTTGTGTTAATGGCTCCGTCGCTGCCCTTCACCCATTTATCTTTACCAAATGGAATTAAGTGAATTATCTATTGGAATTGGGCAAAAATGCACTCAAGATGATTTTTATTTTTACCATACTGGATCTGGGGCCCTTTGTCAATCATTAGACAAATTTTCACTAGACTACATTGCACAGAATGCAAAATTTAGCACAATACTTTATTTGTTTGTAGTTTTCTCTAAAATAAAAAACTTTAACGTTGATCAATTTTTATTGCATATAACTCTGTTGACAGTAGACAAAGTTTCACAGACTGGAAAGGATATGATTTGGAATTTTTTATACGTATGCTTTTTTTATATATTTCGCATCCTTTTTCGCCCAAGAAACTTCGCTGACTTTGATGCCCTTCTTGATAATTTATTACGTTGATATTTGAGTTTTAAATTCAAAGATAGAGGATGAAGTATCACATGCTCATGCAGTCATCATGTTGAGAAGGTCTGACAAACGTAAGGATCGAGTTGAGATATCACCAGAACAGCTTTCAAATGCATCTACTAAAGCTGAAATATCCTTTCTGTTTCTTTTATTTTGTTGTGCGGTGATAACTTGTTTGCTGTTTTCGTACATTTGAGATAGGCTTCATGTAGATACGCTCTGATCAAATATATGCATGAAATAATTTCTCATAAAAAATTGATGTATTGCAAGTTTATGACTGGAGGTATGCTGTCATAAAGGGGTGGCATGGCATAAATAAAAGGCCCTGGAGCATTTTTCGAGAAGAGGCCTATGCTAGTTCGATCTCTTTTTCTGAAAACGTGACTTGCCGATTTCTTCTTTCACAATCAATGCAATTAATTGTAGACAATATTTTAATATTTAGCAAGCACACAAAGACGAGACACGAAAGGATACTTGACACGAAAGACACGAAAGGATACAGACAAATAGGATACCTGTAATTCTCTTCGAGATTCTCTCCTGGAGGCAGAAGAAATCTGCAGCCAATCTAGGATTTGTAGAGCCTCGTGTTCGCAAGCTTTCTAGGGGCCACCGTGAAATGTCCCGCTGGGCTATGCCGCCTCTACTGTCACAACTATTATATGGCTATTTATGCTTTCAAATATTTTCCTCTCCAAAGTTCTTTCAAGTGTGCTGACTGAAACAGCTATGCTCATTTTAATCATTTGAAGTATTGTTTATGCATTTAAACAGCCCTGGCACATTTAAGACTATAAAGAGCAAGCATTACCACAGTAGCGTAGCCAGAGTGGTAAGGTAAGGGGGGCAAAGGCGAATTCAGCGAGGGAAAGATGGGGAACCACACCCTCTGGAACGCCAGAAAACGCTGCTTTTCAGAGAGATTTTTGCCATCAGTGGAGGGGGGGGCGTCTTTGCCATCGGTGGAGGAGGGCGTCCGCCCTCTCTTGCCTCCCCCCTCTCTTGCCTCCCCCTTACTACGCTACTGCTTTACCACTGTACCATACATGGATTTCAACAAGAAATATTGAAGGAAGGTGATGACTTTAAATGGGACTTCCAATCAATGAGGACCATTGTACTTGCTATGTATATTTAGTTGAAATTTTTGAGCAATTCGTAGTCAGGTAAACATAGTAGAAAAAGGGCCAAAAAGCACATCGTTCCTTTTTTTATATTTCGAAACATAATATTGAAGGAACACAGCTATGAAGAAATATCGAAGTTTAGAATATTTCATGTGAAACTTGTTTCAGTAATTTTCCTTAATTAAGTTCATGTGATTGGTCACAGCACAAGAGCAAACAAGCCATTGAGAATTATTGGCTGGTACCATTCGCATCCACACATAACAGTTTGGCCATCTCATGTTGGTACGTATAGTAAGCCCGAATTATAACCATTTCAATATTTGCCTCCTAGAACGTCTCCTTACCTTTCTCGGCCATTAGTATATTCCAAACAATATTTGTTCCATCATTATTATCGATTGACCAAAATATCTCTTACCCTTCCAAAATAAACCTTTCCAACTAGAGGCATTGTTTCATCATTTTTTGGTTTTTCATTTTCTTCAGCTTTAACATCTTACGATTTAAGACAAACTAAAGCCTTTGGTCTTAAAGGATTTCGTCTGACACTCTTCCAAGTTTAAAACGCCAGACTAATGATCGGAAATTCTGAGCTAGGAAATCGAATTAGGCTTATCAAAAAGCACAAGCACGAGACTGTTAAGGTTGCCCAATCAGTGCTGCTTGCCTACAGAAAATATTCCCAATTGAATTAAAAAATGATAAGTGTCAGACGAGTTCTCTAGAAACTGGTGCTCTGAAGAGTGTCAAACGAAGGTTTTTAGTATGTTTCAAAATTTCGCACATTTTGGTACTGGTTTCGGTTTTAAGGGCTCCGTTTTACAAATCTCTGTTTAAAATGCGAATGGCTTGTTTACAACACATCTTTATGTTATTTTTGTGTGTGTGAACCTAAAATTGTAGGCCCTACAGAGTAACAAATTTCGTCGTGAAGAAATGTGGTTTTCTGTTCATCACTTGGATCTCGTAAATTTTCTCTCTGCTACCTCCTGCTCATTAAAACCTTTTGGAATGATTTTCTTTTATTTTCTTGTAGATGTAGCAACACAGTCTATGTATCAAATGATGGATCAAGATTTTGTTGGCTTAATTATTTCATGCTTTAACGATGATCCAACAACGGTATATGAACTTTTGTTTTAATATTAACTTTTTAATACATGTCTACACAGATAGCTCGCTACAAAATTCATATCCTAAGGTCTAAAAAAGCTCTTGTTTTTCCTATAATGATAATTGCAAGTTGTTAACGTTTTGATAATCTTTTCCCTCGATTGATTAACCAGTTTATGGCTGAAGCCAATGTTTGTCGTCGAATTGATTTGATTTGTACCTTACAGGCGATTGGTGATGTCCAAGTCACGTGTTTTCAAGCGATCGAATCAGGACCTTACTCACAGTAAGTCGAGGGGCAATTCACTCTTGCAAATAGCGTACGAGATTTTCCCAAAAGCAAAAGGATTTCTGGGGATTTTCAGCTAAAACAATAGAATTTTCACAAAAAGTGTACGAGATTTTTGTAGAGTGATTTGCCCCTCGCAGTAAGTAGCCCATGCTCTTTACTGCGAACAATATATCATAAAGAAAAGGCTATTTAGTTTTTGCTTCTTATTTCAGAATAACACCACATATATTTTTCTCCCAGCGACCTAAATATGAGAATGATTACTTTTTAGCGTGGAGCTCCCAATATGCAAACCTTCCGTCCGAAGATCTAGCAAAAATTATAATATTTGTTAGATCTTTACACAGCCCTTTGTAACTTTTTTAATGATATCAGTCTACCTTCGAGGAAAATACTAAACTTTTAAATAAGTCCCCCTCGAATAAGCCCCTCCCTCTAAGCCCCCACCCAAGAATTCATTTTTGCAAATAAGCCCCCGGAGGCTTATTCGAGGATTTACGGTACCTAAAGTCCACGAATTAGCCTCTTGGGGCTATTTCGCAAAAAACTGTTTTGGGAAAAGGGCTTATTCGAGGGGGGGATTCTTATTCGATGGTTGGGGCTTCTTCGGCACAAGCCAAAAACATTACCAGGATAAATGAGTTTCCCCTCTTTGAGCATGCTAAAGGATGCAGATATACTGGGGCAAACGTATTGCTGTCGAGGCAATACCTTACCCCATGGGAATTATCCAGAGATGGGGGCTTATTTCACAAAAGTTGAAATTTTAAGGTGGGGCTTATTTGAGAGGGGTATTTCGAGGACATACGGTGAATCTTTAATTCAATCTTATCAAATATGTTGCCTCTTTGCAGATTAGAGAGACTTGAAGTCGAGTTTTCAATTGTTCCAAGCCCTGCCCCAAGTGCAGCCACTTTGTCAGCTCTTGTTGAGTTGCCTGTTATTCTTGAGGAGGTAAGCGTTATTATTTATATGATGAGAAAAACAGACTGCAATCCTAAATCAGTAAGTGTTTTCTCAATGCTACTTCTGGACGCTCATGTGTAAATAAGCAACTCGGGAAATGGAAGAAAAAAGTAGACGTTTGCTCTACACTATCAGAAAAGTAATTAAAAAATGCCAAAAATGTGTTTTTAATACCCCTTTCAGAATTTTGTATGTTTGAAACAACTTTCAATTTGCAATATCAAGTAAACAGTTAATAAATGGGTGAGAAATGGCCAATGAACGATTTTAATTTTGCTTAAGGATTACTGTAGACTTGCTCCAAGTCTTTTTCGTGCTTGAAAGATGGGTTATTTGTTTCCTTCCTGTGACTCGCAGAAGAACTGTTATTTTGGCCTTGTCATTAAATGCATTTGATATGCATAAGTACAGTGAATCCAAAAATTACTTAGGCCAAATTAATCAGAGCACGCGCACAAGAAAGGTTTTGAAAACCGCTCACGTGAAACCACTGCGAGCTGCTCTAGGATTTCACCAATTTGCAGAAAGACGGAAACTGTTCAGGTGTTTTTCTCTGTGTGAAATATGATTGGTCAACCACTCGTGGTCGAGTGACTGTAAGCCACTTTTACCTGTGTCAAATGCCTTTAAAGTTTCAAGCAGAAACCCAATGGCAATGATTTGAAGGAGAAGGAAATTGTGCAGAAATCGCCTTATCTCAGCCAATTAGTAACACATTACACTGATTTTGAATATTAAGGGGTATTTTATGATGCTCTTCAATGGGTGATTATGATCTTTCAAAATCACGTGATTATGTTACGCATGCTTTGTTCATTTTCCTTTGTTTCATGACATTGAGTAATTAATATAATTAACAAATAATTACAAATTACATAATTAAATAATTAAATAGATAATTCTGCATGATTCCATATCAGTAATTGGGTGTAGCCTCTGCCAAGAGATTCCCTTGTAAAGGGTGAAAATGTTGTTCACATCGACCGACCCATAATTCAAGAAATCGAGATGCCATGTTTTTACTTATGTTTCAATGATCTTTGTGGCAGATACAATTAATAGAGAACCTCCTTGTTTTTTAATAACACAAATATTTCTCCGCGTTATTTTCTTTTATTTCAGCCACCATTAAAACTTTTTAATGTGATTTATGCCCATTATCAATTAGTATTCTTTGCCTAAGCAAGGTATTTGAACAATTTTTTGCGGTACAGAATTTGAAAATGGCTTTGAAAAAAGCAAACATTTTACGACATAAAATGTTTGCATGTTTTTCTGATTGGCCTATTTCGATCCACAACTGGGTATATATTTTCTATCGTGTTCTTTCGGAACCTTATTCTGACGTTTTATGCTCTGAGGAGTGTCAGACGAAAAAGCTTTTAGTATGTCGTAAAATGTTTGCTTTTTTCAAAGCCATTTTCAAGGTTTTTGAGTTTCACACAAATTCATTTTTAGGAAGAATCCGAGGCTTACAACAAAACATTATCGTAAGTTCCTTGCTTGAAAATTATCAAATTTATAGTTAATAAAAACTTATGAAGAGTGTATTTTTTACGCCTTTTATAAAAAGTGTTTTATTTTAGATAGGATGGACACGATGCATATTTCTAACAATGAAAACAGATGATTAGATTGTGTAAAATTAATTTTTCACGTTTTGCTCTCACAGACACAAAATGCAAGATCTAGTAACAGCTATCCACAATGGAACAGGTGAGTATCTACCTTTATTTCAATTCATCTTTAGACTTGTTAAATCAGCGATTCCGTTTATGAAGTTACAATAACTTTCAAAATCCCCCGGACACCAAGTTACTTGTTTTGTTTTTGAATTCTCCATTGTTTACCGATTTCATCTTTTCCGCTCACCTTTCTAACTTCAGCCACTTTTTCATGTAAACATTATATGAGTCAAATATACTAAAAAGTCAGTCTGATTTTGTAACAAAGTAACATTGTTTAAAGAGAATTTGTTTTGCGTATTTAGGACTGAATGAAGAGGCAGACTTCAAACCTTGACACGAGTGCTATAGCTAAATAGAGCCAAGTTATTCACAATATTTTTACAGCGCAACTGTTCTGGAAATTCTATTTTACATGGAAGTAAGAAATGTAAGCCAGCTATCAAAACAAAGCAAAGCTAAATTTTTTCTAAGCTTAGGCCGAAATCATGGGAGATGAAAATTTCTCTTTTATATCAATCGAAGCAGACAGTGATTTTTATCCTGATTTGTGCATGAAATGGTTTTGCACGTACATTTTTTTTATAGAATATTCAGGCTTAGAGTAATCCAATTTTCAGAATGCAATAAGAATTTCGCTAAGCCTCAACTCGCATATTTGTGACTAATTTTTCAGCATTTGCCAATTTTGCGATGTTCGTGGCGGAAGATGTTCCCTGAAACGATATCAGATTGGAAAAAATCATTACTTTTAAAATAAATTCAGGCTCAAAACGATAATTTCATGGAAGTATTGAGGCTGGGTAGAATTTATAGTATTATTATAAAAAGCATTGCACATGTGGTAACGTGTGTTCGCACACATGTCACATGTTTAGCCACTAAAGTAAAAGTTTTTCAACAGACGCTAAATACTCTCGAAGTTGTCAAGTTGTTTTTCAACATTATTCAGTTTTCAATGTTGTTATTCAGAAATAAAACTAGAAGCGGATAATACCGCTTGAGGTTGATCGTATGCTTTGCAAAACATGAATTGTTTAAATAACTCTCAATTTCCCATTAAACAGTGTTTGACTTTATTTTTACATTCAACAATTTATTTTGGGCCTCTTTCGTCGTACATTTAACTTCTAACCTGTGTTTAGGCAAATTTAACCGCCTTTATGAGAACCCTTGTTGCCTCGTAATAGATTTTGCCTCACTAACCATGGACGTCAAAGATCAAGGCCTAAAGGCAGGCGCCTGTCTGACCCTTTGATAGTGGGAGCAAAAGGGGCCGAAATGCCTTACTTATGAAAGTTCCATTGACCTTGTATTGTTACAATGTATTTTCCCAAGTCACGCCTACAGGGACTATGACAAAAAATAAAGAGTCATTCTATTAAGAGTGTAAGCTCTATCACAATGCCCACCCCTTACTCCAACCACCGCTTTTATTACTTTTCTCATTATAGCCTTTTTCGATTAGAATATTGTTATGTGGCATTGCAATTTACTTACCAAACCCTTAATTCGTATAAAAACTGTGCGTTTCTATCAAATACGAGAAAGGAATTTGTAGCACCGTCTAGTATATTCGCGGTATTTCTGATGAAAGAACGCTTTCTGCTAAGCACTGTTCCTCTTTTTCAGTGTACACAAAAGCCATCTGTCAACTGCTATCTGTGATCTGTGCTCCTCTTATGCAAACTTTGGAGAGACAACTGAAAAACAGAGCATTAAAACTCGATGACCTAAGAAAAGAAAAACTCAATTTAGAGAAAGAATTAATGGAACTGCATAAAAGTAACGAATGCTCCAAATAAGCCAGCAGGCAGGCCAATTATTGACTTTGTCCAAAGACCACAGCTTTGAACATTGGAAGTGGAAATATCGTCGATCAGGAGACGACGGCGTCATTATCAAATGGACTTTTGTTGTCGTGAGTGGAGAGCTGACCTCTGGAATGTTGTTCTGAGAGGTTGGTTGACCTGTGGTGCTGTTAAAGGGCTGCCAGGTAAGCCATATGTGAACAAAGTCCTTTTAAGCCTCTCTCAGCCTCAGCCTCCTTTTCGAGAGCCTGCCATCACTGTTTTACCTTGTGTCACTCTATCTTGGTAGCAGTCAAGTGCAAGACCCAACAATGTAATTTATTGACTAAAAGGGTGAAGTTTAGGCTGGTGTGCCATTTTGAGTGCATCATTTTTGCCCAAAAGCTTAGGCTTAACGTTGGGTATCTATTGACAGATTTTAGAACTGTATCCTGTGTTTAATTGTTACTTAGATTCTCACAGTTCTATATTGAAATAACTTCAATGACAAGACAAAATTGTTGCTCAAGTTTCTCTGTGTTTGCACTACGTTCAAAATACCATTTAGATTAAACCTTCCAAGCTGGGGTATGTTTTTCGATTTTTCCGAGAACGTCCTTTTAAATTGGTGCTCAAGGCGCAGCCTAGCAAAACATTTCATGGCACCGGATATTCAGTTACCTTTTTCTTGTAAGCCCCCCCCCCCCCTTGTGGACATTGGAAATGGTAGAGAAATAAGATCAAAACTAACGAGCAAGGTTGCAAACATTGCATCATTTCCTTTTGTGATTTTGATAAAAATGAGAAATTAATCATCGCATACAACTCAGAAATAGTTTCCGCAAGAAAATTTTTCCGACAAAATTTATTTTAATCAAATAGAAGCATTTTATGTTAGTGTAAGGGGGGAGGGGGGAGATAAAACACATAACTTTTGCCTTAGCTGGAAAGATATTTTAAATGCACTTTTATCTTGTCACTGTTTCTTCATACTTACTGTGAAAGCCCCTGACATCTCACAACCCTATAGATCGGTAGATCAGGACAAGTGTTGAATAAAGTTAATTTTTTATATTCTTAATGCTTCAAATGCGCCGGAAATTGCATTCTTTGGAGCCAGTTTTTGTTAATAAAATTCATTCTCAGAATGAATATCCACTGTCAGGAAGCAAGAATATTAATCGACTTCGTCCTTGTTTTACCTTATGCAACAAAACTGCATAGGTTTTAGAATCATCTTAAAATTTAAAAGGCATAAAATTGACACCGTCCTGGTCTTAATTATCAAATAAAATAATTTTATGACCAAATTGCACATTTCCATAACCAAATTTGGCCCTTGAAGATTCGGATTTTAGCTGACGAAATCCGAGCAGCAAATCACTTAATGGCAGAAATCGGTAAATCCTGAGAAATCATTTTGTTTTTGTGGAAATCTAGTATTTTCTTTACAAAAGTGAATTGCCCCTCGATAATACGGAAAATACTTTAGTCCATGTTATTTGTGTTACCAAAAAGGTTCCTTTTCACTTCTCCTTTTTACCCACAGCTCAAGTTTGAGAATTTTGCGACAAAGCAATAATTTGTTCGAAAATCTCTCAAATCTTAAATGAAGAGGGAGCCACGAACCCCCTGCCCCCCGGCCAAGACACCCCTGGGTTTAGATGCCTTTCAAACGAGATGACTCTCGCAAAGTCTTCCATTGAAGATATGAACCGGGGTGAATCCAAGTTACTGGAGAAATGTAATTTCAAAATCTTCTGCGCTGCCCCATGACGCCACCCCTCCTTTTAACTCAAGGAATCCCACTTTTAAGCGTGAACCGTGGATTAAACCCCCAAGAACTCATTTACATTTCTCTCAGACAATCGACACAGGCTTTTTCGACTTGTTTATTGTATTTAAATAGTGTTTCTCTGAAATGAGGATTCTGGTATTAGCTAACTTAGCGACTATTTACTTTATGCTTTGGTTTTATATATAAATAGAGAGATTATGGCAAATAATGCATTAAGGGTTTATAATTAGGCTTGAAAATCGTGTCAACCGGGCCTGTTGGCTGAATACTTGCAGTTGTTTGTGTGGAAACCGCCCTCCACATCAGAGGACCTGTCTTGATCTCAACTTACACCACGATTTATAAGTACAAGGTGTTGTGGGATTGGTCAGCTCTGATTCCCACCGGTGATTGACTTAATACTCTAAGGGAACGATCGATTCCCTATAGACGAGTTGCCTCTAGAGATCGAAAAGCATGCCTCTTTTTGACGATGTAACCTAGACTTGGGGAAGATCAAACTTGGTTTTTTGGGGGTAATATTTTCAAGTTTTCGGGTCCAATTTGGATGAAAATAGTTGTTTTGTCTTCCATCCTCTGTCATTTAACTAGCCAAATGATTATATGTATGTGGCTGCCCAAAATTCTTTCTCAGATCATTTAAATAGCGAGAGGACGAAAAAGGAAAATATATTTTTAGGCAAATAGAGCCGGCAGATTAGCACAAAAATGGAAATCATGTAAAATAGGGGAAAAGGAGTCTATAAGACTATGTTGGAAGTCTTTTGCCCTCTTTACCTTCCAGCGACACTGTTAATTTCAATCTGGGTTCATTCTAGCCCTGAAAGCTTCCAGTTCCAAATCATCTTACTCTCAAACAACTTTCTGTATTGGATACGGGGTGGGGGGGGGGGGGGGCGGTGGATGCGATTTCCCTACACCGCAGAAATCCGGCACAATACAGACTGGTTTTCTCGAAATGAAGTCTCACCGCCCTGAATTTGAAGCTGAGACACTTTAGTCTCCATGACTGCAAATCATATCTTCAAGCTCATCAACATCAAAAAGGCAGTTTTTCCTTTCGGCGAAGTTTCTATTCCAAATGATCGTAGCTCAAAAGCTTTTCTAATGGTATCAACTTAAAGCATTATTGCTTGTTTTGCATAAACATTTGCAGTTGTGATGAGCATGAGCCCAAGCAGAATTTCCATATTTCCTTTACCATACAGAACGCAAATTCCTTGTTTGAAATGAAATCTCACTATTTCTATAGTATGGCTCTTTTATAAAAATCAAATTGTTGAACTCTCAAGTTTTCCTAAGGGTATTTGTAAGTGCCTGGCTAAGAATACGACATCTTGGACCCACATATAAGAAACTTCCCATTGCCCTTTAGCCGAAAATTTTCTTGTAAACCAGAGCTTTTAAGAAAATATTAGTGCCAAAAAGTTCCTTAAATGCGGTTTCTTATTTGTGGGGCCTAACTGTAATAAAGCCTGTTTTTGTCAGATGGGAGACTTGCGTGTTTGGTTCCAATTTTGGTCCATTTGGTCACCGGATAAAGGATGATTTACATGCATTAACAAATCGAACTGTAATCGTGAGTTGAAAATCACCATCTTGGGAAAAGATCGCACGTTTTCTGGCTATCCAAAAGTTCAGTCCACAAAAGTGCTCAGTTTATCTAAAACTAGAGATTGGCAACACTACCTTGCGATTTGAATGTCAGATCAAAACAAGCCATCACAGAATGTTTCTTTGCTACATAGGTTAAACAGCAACCTCAATATTGGGGGCGCCGCTGATGAAATACGATTGGCCACTGCATGTTGAGCCGTTTGACAAAACTTGGTTGGGTTGAAATACAAAGGAAAAAAGTAAGGGGATTGGTGGTTACTGAGCTCACGTCAAAAGGCCTAAAGTATTTATAAAAAGGAAGAAAAAGGTGATTAATCAACAAAAAGGAGTTAGTTTCAAGTAGTGCTATACCTGTGACAAGAGTTTCTTAAATGAGTCCATGATTGATGCTTTCACAACATGGTTTGGGAGAACGTTCCAGTTCTTTATGGTACGAGGGAAAATTGAATAATTGAAATAGTCTGGGCCTGTCCTAGGTAGGATGAAGGCGAAATCATTATAATTTCTATTTTATCTGAGAAACGGTTTTAAATAGTTTGTAACGTTGCAACTAGCGAATTTGTTATCTTGCACATTATTGTGAGAATATGCTTTCTTCGCTCCTCTAGGCACTTTCATCCAAGCTCATTTGACATTACTAGTACTAAGAGAGCCCTTCCATTCATTTAAAAGAATTGCGTTCCTACCACCCAAAAGAGTTCTGTTGTTTATGAATTTACTTGCCAGTGTGATTCTGGCTACGTAGGAGGCACAACTCAAAGATTGGGGGTAGGATAAAACAACATGTTCCTTCTAACTTAAGAAACAAGACTGTCCCTCAGAGAGAACAGCCTCCTCGATCTTGTAGGTCTAGAAACACCCTTAAAAAAAGTGATTCTGCCATCGGGCAACCTTTAAGATAACCCAGATGGTGCAAAACTCTATAATGTCGATTATGTTTCAGATCATCGTCTTTTAATCTAGCAGTTTTGGATCGATCTACATACAAACGAAAAAGCCGCCAATGTGTAGACAGAAGGAGTTCGTATTCTCTCTTTGACTCCAGTGGTAATTTTTCTTAAAGTAAATCAACGGAGTTATAACGCAGCTTAGGTCAGGGGACTGGGCTACGTAAAAATAGAACTTCTTAGCTATCCAATCTCCATAAATCAACAAAGTTAAAACGCAGCACTGATTGGACAGCTATGCCAGTCTTGTGCTTGCGTCTTTATGATTGGCCTACTTCGATCCACAACTGGGTATATATTTTCCATTCGCTCTTTCGGACCCTTATTCTGACGTTTTACAGCTTTCAGTAGTATGTTGTATAATGTTTGCTTTTTTAAAAGCCATTTTGAAATTGTTCACCATCTATTTCCCAAGCTTCTATTTCCAGTATATCCTTCACCGCCCAAGCTGTTTACAAGAATAAATAACAGCAAATAAACAGTTTTATTTATTTGTTTATTTATTTTCTCTTGAATTTGAACCACTGCATGCAAACAGTTAGGAGCAATTCGACCAGACGGCTCATGAAGTAATCGAAAAACTGCTTCGGATTACACTACGGTCCGTTAAAGCAAAGCTTTAGCTTTTTCTCGCTGGAGTATTTCAATACCCCCAAGGCAAGACAACCCACGTTTTTCACCGCTTTTCCGGTGGTCGATCTATCATCAATTTTACTAAAGAAATATCTCTTTACCAGAATTTTATCATCATCTTTCGAAATCCATTGACAATTTTTGGCTTGTTATTCCCTGTTATCAATTTTCTCCATTCACGATTTTCGCCAGTTTCAATAAGCTGCATAAAAAGGAACCAGGAACCTCTTTTCCTATTCTGTGACCACACTACAAAATGCGACGGCCTCGGGCCCGGTTCGTAGTTGAGCCAATGTATCAAGCTTGCGCTTTTTTCAGCTGCAGAAAAAATCAAAGCGTCTGCAAAATTTCGTCCCGTATCAGCTTTCCGTACGGAAAATTAGTACATTCCTTCTGGCGGCGGCCCCCATTTTGCGTCCGAGCTAATCCGACCGGAAATGTACATCGTTCCTGCGTTGCCAGGAGTGTCCCTTTTCATTTTGTCATTGGTGACGTCACTCGTGAGGAGGATCGAGTTGCGCAAAGGAAAACAATCCCAAAGAATCTATTACACTGCGAAGCCATTAACATCCAATACAGAGAATCTGGTTGAAAAGAGAAGAGAGTTTGGATTCGCCGATTGTACACCAAACCAAAGAACTCTAATGTTTATGGTATAATTTATAATTAAATATGGATTCCATCGCCCAGTCTCAGAGGAAAGGAAACTCCGTCGTTCATGTTAGAGAAGACTCGGAGAGTGATCTGGAGAACCTTTTCAATCCAGCAATTTTGAGTCAACCGTCTGTTCCGATGCGGTTGAGGAAACTACCTCCATCTTTCTTTAAACAGCCTGTGCAGTCGCATGGACCGTTTGCCAATCGGCCTGGTGGCGATGGGGCCAAAGATCCCAATGAAATGGGGTCGGCTGTCTACCATTCGAGAGCCCATTCCTCACCAGCTTCTCTAGGCCTTTTAGTCCATCATCAACAACAAAATCCACAAAGGTTATCTCCGGCTCATCAAAGAACCCAATCATATGATGCGCTCGAAAATGAAAACCTCCCACCTGGATGGGAAGCAAGAACGACGGCCACCGGCCAGAAATATTACGTAAAGTAAGTTTATTTTGTCAATGAACTAAATTATTCATAACTTAAAGCGAATTTGACACGATTTTTCGCGCGCTCTCAGAGTGATGACAACGCAAGTGGCCTAGCCCACTCTTGCCGGGGCAAAACATTGATGCATTAACTTTGATATATATTTGTAGCTGGTAGTAAAACAGTTTTTTATAAAAGTTGGAAGCGATCGAGGATACCAAACTAGAGAAAAGAAGCGGAAGCTGTAGCCAAGTTTATCTTTTGAGGGAAACGATCCCGACACAGTCTGTTGTCTGAATAATGGGGGATTTATATTACAGGCTTACAGAATCATTCGTGTGTTTCAAAACCATTCATATTAACATAATTGCTCGTTTATCCTAATGTGAAATAAAGAACTCGTTGTTGTTAGAGTTCCCATGGCAGGCTGCTAATGTAAAACAAAGATAAAAGTGAGCAGCTAAATCCATGTTTTCTTATGGGTGATTGTTTATTGATATTGTTACAATCACTTATGGCTGGGCAATATTATTTCTCGAGAAATCCGTGGTGAAAATATAACTGAGGTCTTACCGACAAGTTCCTTTTGATAGAAGGGAAATGTGATGCACGAAAAAGTTTCACAAATATTGATTGCTGTCAAGTATATAGATTATTGCTATTTTCTATTCGACTTTTATTTAGTCGATTATTTCTAGTACATTCCATAATGATTGGTTAGTATATTTCAAAGTACTTACTTTTATAATAAGAGTGACAAATTATCATACAGTATTACCAAAAGGCTGTTAAAGAATGAGAACTAGGATAGGCAATAACATTCTTAGATTAGGGTTCCATGGATTTTTATGGAGAACTCATCTTTCTTTCATTAAGCTTGCATGCCATGCTGCCTGTCAGTACAGGAAGAAAAACTTGTGACCTGCACCTTGAGGGGCCCATTGAAATAAAGTGATATATATCTGTCTCAAATTTTACCCCAAGGCCCAAGCTCGCTCTCTACACCACATTACATTTTTTCCTAGTGTTTACAATTATATACTAATATGAAAACCCAGATACCCTAAAACCATCTTTGCAGTATTTGAATCAGGAGACGATGTTTGACATCACAGAAAACGCTCATTGTGCATGCCAAAGGCTCTGTCTGTGTCAGACAGACTTGTGGCTACATAACATTCACACTGTCTCATCAAAAAGTAAAAACATTGGTTCTTTGGATTATTAGGTTGGATAAACTCAATTTGAGGTTGAAAACAATGATTTCTAAGATTTCCAGAATTTGTGGCCTGTGGATAAAGGATTACATTATCTTGCTTTAATGAATAAGTAAACTCGCTATTGAAGCAAACTTTAGCATAGATGGGGCCAGTAGAAGATTTTGGGTTCAGTAAATTTATTCTTAAACAATTCTGATTTGCACCAAATTGTTCAAATTTTCTTAGAAATTTTTGGAGTTGTCTGTCCTCTTAATTTTGTAACCCTGGTTCCATGGTTTGTTTTAACTTCCTCATAACCTTGTTTCACACACTATGAAAGCCAAAAAGTCATTTATAGTACAGAATAATGTATGTATTAAAAATATTATCTTGTAGTGAGTTCAATACTGTAAATTAATCAATTTTTCACAACTTCTTTCCCATTCATCAAGCATGCCATCCCTTATGCCATTCACATGCATACAAAAGGACATTCCTCAACCATTGTTTACAGCTTAATTCATAGTCATGCTGACTCAGCATCTCCCGTTCTGTGCCTAGATCTTTCTTTATCACAATGCATCATCCTTATGTTACCCTATCTAGTCCTCAGTCTGCATTTTTTATTGGTATGTAAGTTTGTTAACTAGTATGTAATTTAGTTCAGTTCAGATCAAAGTTTTTTAGGCAACATTCTCTCTCACTGACTCCATGATCTTCAATAGGACTCTTTGGGTTGGAAACAACATGTTTAAGTCAATGGACTATTTTATTTAGTGGCTACATCAATTGTTGTACCAATGTACTCTAAAATCTTTCATTTTGCATGAACATTTTTAAAAAGAACACTTATTTGTAGAAAGTCTGTTATATATGTGAATCGTGCAATGATCATTTTAGTTGAAAACTAGAATTCACTAAAGTTCAAGCTCTGGGTTTTTGAAAAAGTGCTTTATAGGAAGAAGAAATGATTAAATAAAACAATCCTTTAATGTCCTGGCTGCTTGAAATAGAAATTGTCAAAGGACGGGAGATATGAGCCACTTTCTTACTGTAACTTGGCATTTTCTTTTTTATTCAAAAGATATTTGAATTATGATTTGTACTTTATAGCTATCTTGTTTATTCATTAAAATGCATATATTTATTTGTGAAATTGCATTTTATCTCGTTTACTCTTTTAAGATTTGTATAATTATGGCACTAAAGTTTTGAATATTGTTTCTATAGCCATGTTGAAAGAACAACATCGTGGACCCACCCAAGGCTAAAAAGCCAATCATTGGCCACTTTGAATGCTAATCAAACACTAGGCCAACTGCCAGATGGATGGGAACAAGGTGTTACCCCAGAAGGTGAGGTCTATTACATAAACCATTTAACACAAACAACAACATGGTATGATCCAAGATTAAATCGTAACCAAGGAAATAACAGTTTCATACAGGGTCAACCAAGTAAGACTCAGGAGCAAGTAAATCTTCGATATCTCCAGTTGGAAAAGGAGAAGTTGAGACAAAGACAGCAGCAAATATTTCACCAGGAGATGCTGATTCAAAGACAGATGACTAGTCAGGCAGATCCCTCTGCAAGTGGTGCACCATTGATAAATAGTCTCTGTGAGCAGAAGTTTGCCAATTCATCAGGATTTGGGAATGTTCAACACAAACGAGTTGGATCTGCAGATTCTGGCCTTGATGGCATGGGATCATTTTTATCTCCTCCTCCTGCAGACAGTGATGCCATCGGTGTAGATGATGTAGACATGGAAGGAAATATTCCACAGCAGCAACATCAGATGAAAGAATCACTGACTAGGAGATCAGATCCAGGAAATCTCAACCAATTAAATCAAACTAATGCAGGACATTTACCAGATTTCCTTGAAAGAATGCCGGCAACTAATGTTGATCTTGGCATACTTGAATCAGACACAGACTTTGGCACTGGTTTGGAACACCTACAGTCTGAGGTTCTAAATGATGTTGATATGATCTTTTCACCTGCCACTAATAATAAAGGCAAAGATGGCTTTCTAACGTGGCTTTAATCTTTGAGCAAATTAGATGTAAGTCAACTTGGTTTGTATCCATTCTTTATTTGTTTCATATTACCATCAAGAATGTAAATAGTGATAGGTGTAGGGACCAGAGGTTTCATGCAGGCAAGAATAAAATATATATGATAGGTTACAGTTGCAAAGAAATGCACCCTGAGCTTGCTTACAGGAATGCTTATGCAAGGAGTTTTAGAACTGTTAGAATTTTGTGGCATTAAGAATTGGCATATAATGGTGTGTCAGTCAAGTTAGGTTTATTGTATTAGCAACATTGGTGTTATTTATCGTATCATGGTTAAATCAAGATGTATTAAAATTGCAATCCACTTTCTTTGCCATGTGTCAACATCTAGTTCATTATGGGATAGGATTCTTAGTCTCAGTGCGTTTAAATATACAGCTAAGGAGATGCCTTTGTGACTGTCAAGTTTCCAGTTATTGGATCATAATGTCTCCTGTTATTTTGTGGTATATATTCAAGTTACCAGCTCCTGAAACCTTTTTTGAGCTATTTTGGCCTGACATTATTGCTTAAGAATGAATTATGGCTTGAAAGTCGCTCGGCAACTGAGATGCTTAAAAATGAATGTAAGTCGCATTTGAAAGGAATTTTTGCCATTTAAAGCATTAATCCAGTTCTAAGCATCAATCTTGTAACAGTCTTTGTTGGCATTTGCTTCGAGACCTTTCAGCCTTGCAACCAACACAATAATCTTCCTGTTGCCATAATCTTGTAAGACTTAAAAGGTAAACCACAATTCTTCACATCGCAATCGGAGACGTTCATTCATTCTTTAAAGGTCACGATTGTCACCCGAACCTGTGTTGAGTCTATGCCCGTTTTAATCAAGCGGTCACACACAATGGACGTTCCTTATCACTTTGCCTTCTCTTTGTAGCCTGGGAACAATAAGAAATTTCGTGACGTAAGGAAAACCCTTCCGTTCAGAATGCTACGTAATCAGTTCTGGTAGGGAAGGAAGATCACATCTTGGACACATCGCTTCCCCAAGATTGAGTATGGAGAGCTTTAATGCTAGTCACATGAACTGGAAATATGACGTCATACATGAGATGACATTGCCACGTTAATATGCATGCGTTATTAAGCTATAAGACTACTGAGTTTTGTTGCAAAGTCAACCAAAGTATAAATTTTGTGTCGTCTCCCTGTCTTTTTTTATATATTCCCACTTTCCTCTCACTTTATACAATTAGAGGGTAACAAATAATATGAAGGGAGAATGTATAAGATTCAAGTCTCTTACAAACAATTTTGGGATAAAAACACAATTCACAGTTGTCGAGCGCCCAAATTTTCCAAATAAGTTTATTTAGCCTTGTGACCAGCGTGCGTTGCCTGTGAGAAGACGCCCCAGTTGTTCCTATGAAGTCCAAAACAAAATTTGTCAATACAAAAGCCACATGTAGCCACATATATAGCCAAGTTCCTAAAAAGGATTTGGCTGGAATTTTAGGTTTAACTTTTGATCTGCCAAAGGGTCCTTGAAGCCCGCTGTATCTGTATCAGTAGTGTTATGCTTTTTACTAAATCACGTTTTTATATAACAAAGATTGTTATTTTTAGTTGCTTGTTGTACTTCTATCACCTTATAACAGATAAGTGTATTATTTATTCCTCTTCGCAAAGCATTTTTGTAGCAGGAGTTGCTCAACAGTTTGTTTCGAATTGTCGTAAATTTTCCAAGTTTGGATATTGTAGTTTGTACAAATACTTTCAAGGGGAATTTTCGAGTTGCAAAAACGACAATTTATTCGGAGAGCTGCTGAGCTGAGATAACTAAATTACAGCCTCGCTGCAGTTTTTAATATTAAGTCATAGCTGTCAGATAGTTCTGTTATGTTTGTATAATATACCTCCTAACTATCAGTCCTCCGCAAAAGAAATGACAATTAACCATTTACGGAAAGCACCTTTAAGGTCACAGACAAGCGAAGCAACTATTGGATTCCAAGCCGTCGCTGTTGAAAGGCTAATGTTTGTAGTTATTTAAGTGCAAAGAACATTTTTGTAGTTTGATAGCACCTTTGCTTTAAATATGTTGTCCAATTGTGAAGTGATATTTTCGCATATATCGAAAGTTGAACATCGGATTTTTATATTTCAATTTTGATATTCGGGATTTTTTAAGAAGTTGTTAAAAATAATATGTTTTAGAATGATAGTTTGGCATTTATTCGCATACTGAAATATGCGAGGTTTTTTCGTGTTCTCTTCTACTTTAACACGCAAACTGGTCTAGCCTCCTTTGAGTTTTGGCTTTCGGTACGTAGGACGAGGCTGTAATATTATGCCTGCAAATTAAAGGGCTTGACAACGGGGGATCAATCGTGAATCCCTACACCCTGTTTTCACCTGATATCTGCAAAGCACTTTGCAACCAATTTAAATCCTTTATTTACAGCTGAATCACAATTGAAAAATTCAAGTCTCATTTTCGCGAATTAAACGTGAAATCGCGAAATCTTTTCACTGAGACCAAATTCCCCAGCCTCGAAAAGACAAAGACATATAAGACATAGAGTTAAGTCTTAAATTCGTTAATTGCTTTGAAAATGTTAAAAATAGCTGTCAGCGGAAAACAGAGTATCAGATATTTAGCAAAATGTTTATCTTTCTTTCCACCATTTTTGGAATTAAGGGGGGAAGGTATATGTTTGTTCGAAATAGGAAAACAGAAGAAAAATCTGCATTTGTATTCCAAGCAAAATCACTTTACTCCATCTTGACTGCCATTGTAATTCCCAGGTGTGGCCTAGGTGAACGTATGTATCAATGAACGGTCTTTGAAATAAAATTTGACCAGGTCATTTGTCATTATCAGATGAGAAAATGTCGCTCGCGGGTCAGAAATGTTCAAAAATATAACTGACCACATTGACGACAATGGCCGAATTGCCAAGGAAGTTTGGGTTCACTAGAGTTAGAGTTCAGATCAAGGAAGATAATAAACCTATCCACTTTGATGGTACCTAGCTTACAAGAGAAAATTCGAATTTTTTACGTGGTCAGATAAGATTTTTGAAGAAAAGTGTAATGATTTTGTAAGCCAATAACTTTTATTTTTCTAAAAATACAATTTGAAAAACTGAATTTTGCAAAGATACGGTGTATAGTGCCAGTTTTTTTATACGTTCTTAACATTTTAGGAAGATTATATTGTTTCATAAATTGGTAAGTCTATATACACCTTTACTGACGACAAAGACAAAGCAAAAAATTTCAGGAGATAATTGCAAAAAACTTTTGCATAGCGGTAACTTTTCTCTCTAATCCAGAGCTATTAGAAGAAGATTTATGCAAAAGATTTTTGGAGTCAAATATAATAATTTTGTAATCTAATGACCTTACATTTTTTTTCATAAAATAATCTTAAAAAATGAAACCTAAAAAAACAACCTAAAATGTCAATGCTAAGCTTCTTTACCATTGCAGATTAGAGATGCGATTTATCGTACGACTAAAATATAAATTACCCTCTAAAAGGCAAAAACAGACAAAAAAACATTCGAGTTGAAATTTTGAAAAAATGATTTAGTCGCAATTTGAAGTTAGTAAAGCATTCGTGTGGTTAGTTAGTTAAAGCGGTTTTTTTTAAAAAGAGCGTATTAACCTTTTTTTAAGTCAATAGCCTTGGTTTTCATCAGTGAACTCAAGCAAAAAATTTATTTACAAAGATATGGCATTTTCTTTTCAAATACTTTTTCTGTATTTTTATTTATAATCTATTTCGCATGTTTTTCTGCCCCATTAAATTTCTGATAATAAAAATGCGCTAGCAATTAAGTTATTTGTTTTATGTTTAGTTAGAACTAAAAATGTTTTTATGATTTACAATTTAAAATAAAACATCCAATAGAATGAATTTTTCAGTGTATAATATATTGTGATAGGATTTAAGCAAAAAAAATGAAAATTTTAGTCGTTTAGTTATAGACAAAGTTTTGCAACCCTGATTTCCTTCTCACTTCAGATCAATGTAAAGGTACTGCCTTTTGAAATTTGTGAATTATGGGAAGTTCCTGCCTGTTTTTAGAACTGACTAAGATCACAGAAAAAAGGAAAAATGCAACTGTAGGATTCGTCGAATCTTTCTTCCAAATCTAGGTTTTTTAACCTGAACATGTAAAAAATACATTTTAGATTGTAAACATATTTTCTCTAAGTTTGTTTTTCTTAGTAGGCCTTAATTAGTTTTGAAGTTGCTATTGTATAAAAGCCTAATTTATAAAGAATAAAATACTAAAACTAATGATTTTCAGCATTAATGTAATAAAATCAGTGTAATAAAATAATTGATAATAATGTGATGATTTACTTTTTAGTTTTACTTTTACCAAGACTTTTTTCATATATTTCGCATTGTTTAAATACTTGATTTTTCTTAACAATTTTAGTTTCTGTTTTGGAACAAAGAATATTTTTCAATGCTGTACAAAATGAAGAAAAGACAATAATACAATGTATACAATGTTAAAGAAAGATGAATAAATATTTCTGATACATTTTGAAGTGAAGTTTTCCATAAATATTTCCAAATTTAGAACTACTTAAAAAATTGTAGAGCTTATCGAAAAGTTAGATAGAGTTTTTTTAATATCAAACATGTATTCCTGCATATTCCGCATTCAAGCTGAATCTCTGTACAAGCTTTTAAGAGTCAGTTCTGAATAGCATGTGAGTTAATTTGTCGACTTCAAATAATCGATACGTGTATCGACAAGCTTCGAAAATTCCGATACCTTTAGTTTCCAGCTCTCTGGTGCCTTTGCCAATAAAAACACATTGATGGGGATTAGATTCCAAATTTATATATATCACGCCTTTCATCTGCTATCTGTGTAAGGGGAATCTGCAATTCTTCTGCCTTTCGTGGTTGTTGTTGATGATGCATGCGATGTTTCATGCTTTTTTTCTCGGTGGTAGCATCTGCAGTATGTAAATATTTCTCTATTGATGGTATTTTGATGGGGGTATCTGCAGTCTTTAATCTTCTGTCACTGTTAATGCAATTTGTCAGTTGCACTGTAGATGGTGTAGGTCGATGGGCCAACTTGCATAACAGGACTTTATCTTTACAAAGGTATCATAATTGAGACTTCACCAATCTTGATGTTGCTAGGCTTTCTTTGGTGGGGTAACCTGATCGATTTGCATCTATATAAGGGTTTTTTTGATGGGGTTTTCTGCAGCTTTTGATCTGTTTTCAGCCTACGAAAGGCTTTTCAGCCTCCGTCTTTGATGTTCCTTTGATTTCATCGATTGGGTTACCTCTAAGGCTTCATCTCTTTAAGGGTCTTGTGATGGGGTTATCAGAACCATTCAGTCTGTCTCAGACAATCTTCAGCATTTGATGTTCCTTTGCTTTATTTGATGGGGGTAGCCTAGCCTCTTTTACTTTATCTTTTTATGGGTGTTGCGATGGGGGCAACTTTTGATATTCTTAGACTTTCTTTGATGGGGTTTACTTGATAAATTTTGTCTCTTCTATCATTAACTTGTTGATGTTCTTGGGCAAAATCTCTGATGGGTAAAATGTCCTTCTGATCATATTGAATTTCTGACAATGATGTTTTCTATACGTTTTACTTCTTAAGTTTGTTTTGATGAACAGGCCCTTTATTTCTACTATTTTTATCTGTATTTTATAATCAGAGAATGATGTAAAGTACTTTAAATCTGCTTCGTGTTTCTGATTGGAAGCTGAAGTATCTTCAAAGTTTGTGGTGTTTGTTGCTTCTGTTACAATGATAAGCAGAAGATTCCAATCCTCTGTATCTTGGTTATTCACTGTGAATTTATAATCATAGCGAACATTTCCATTCATGATCTGTGAAACATTCAAGTTTGGTTGCTACTCTCAGAAAGTTAGTACTTTCTTTGAATAAAGAAATCATCTTTCGTTCCACGCTGCAATATGTTGATATCTGCTATTAACCGGCGTACATCGATATTCTGAGTCAATATTTCCAATAAAAGCAAACAATATATCTTCTTGCATGCTGTACAACCACCATATCTGCTATTAACCGACGTACATCGATATTTTGAGTCAACATTTTCAATTAAAAGCAAACAAAGTATCTTCTTGCATGCTGTACAACCACCATATCTGCTATTAACCGACGTACATCGATATTCTGAGACAATATTTTCAATAAAAGCAGCCAATATATCTTCTTCATGCTGTACAACCACCATATCTGCTATTAACCGACGTACATCGATATTTTGAGTCAATATTTTCAATGAAAGCAAACAATATATCTTCTTGCATGCTGTACAACCACCATATCTGCTATTAACCGACGTACATCGATATTTTGAGTCAACATTTTCAATTAAAAGCAAACAAAGTATCTTCTTGCATGCTGTACAACCACCATATCTGCTATTAACCGACGTACATCGATATTCTGAGACAATATTTTCAATAAAAGCAGCCAATATATCTCCTTTCATGTTGTACAATCACCATATCTGCTATTAACCGACGTACATCGATATTTTGAGTCAATATTTTCAATCACATCGATATTTTGAGTCAATATTTTCAATGAAAGCAAACAAAGTATCTTCTTGCATGCTGTACAACCATCATATCTGCTATTAACCGACGTACATCGATATTTTGAGTCAATATTTTCAATGAAAGCAAACAATGTATCTTCTTGCATGCTGTACAACCACCATATCTGCTATTAACCGACGTACATCGATATTTTGAGTCAATATTTTCAATTAAAAGCGAACAAAGTATCTTCTTGCATGCTGTACAACCACCATATCTGCTATTAACCGACGTACATCGATATTCTGAGACAATATTTTCAATAAAAGCAGCCAATATATCTCCTTTCATGTTGTACAATCACCATATCTGCTATTAACCGACGTACATCGATATTTTCAGTCAATATTTTTAGTGAACGCAAACAATATTGCGAACCTGCACTTTGCAATGATCAGCGGATCTAAATGCCCGGCAACGGTTCATTTCGCCAGATGAAATTTCCCAGATGAATAAGAACCTTCCAATGTACAGCTACAGAATGGACTATTTAGTTGCTTGGAGGATTCCATTTCATCTGGTTAAATTCTTGCTTGCCTGGCGATCTCCTTCAGGCACCAGGTTTGCCGCATCTGCTGAATGCACTGTCAACTGATGCGAATCATCTCAAATATTAGTT